AACGTCTTGAAGCTTTTTTTTCTGCGAACGACGTTGACGATACCAAGAAGGACATTTTCTTCAGCTGTCGCGGCGCGAAGACCTACTCCCTACTGCGAGACCTGGTAAAGCCCGCCAAACCACAAGATAAGTCTTTAGACGAGGTTCTTGACGTTCTCGGGAGTCACTACTGCCCCAAGCCTTCTGCTGTCGTTCAACGGTTTCGTTTCAATTCGCGTGTTCGCGCAGAAGGGGAGACCGTAAGCAAGTTTGTTGCAGCATTGAAGAGCCTGTCGAAGCACTGCAATTTTGGAACACAACTAGGGAACATGCTGAGAGACCGCATAGTCTGCGGAATAAACAGCGTTACGATCCAGACCAGACTCCTGGAGCAGCCGGACCTCACGTTCGAGGATGCCGTGCAGACCGCCTTGGCCATGGAAGCAGCGAAGAAGGACGCCGGAGAGATTTGCCAGGCAAGCTCGAGCACCAATGCGTTCACTACTCACCGCGTCACGACACCGGCGGGAGACGTCGCCTGCTACCGCCGCGGAGATGGACACCTTGCGTCCAGCTGCAAGCATGTGAATACTACGTGCAACTACTGCCGGAAGCGGGGACACCTGTCGAAGGTGTGTAATTCAAAACAGAAGGACGCTCCGTCGTCCAAGAACAAACCTGCGAAGCATCGTTCTTCAGGGCCAGGACACAAGTCCCGCCTTCCTCATACACCTCCAATGAATGTCCTGGATGACAACACTGAAGATAACGGAGTGACATCGTCCGAGGTTTTTGACATGTGGCAGGTTGACAGCTCTGTGCCGTCACCGCCTTTCACCGTCACTGTCAACGTCTGCGGCAAGCCACTGTGCATGGAGATGGATACGGGAGCGACTGTCTCCGTCATGTCAAAAAAACAGTTTCAGGAGTTACTTCCAGCCGTACCTGTCAAGCCATCTATGGTGCTGTTGCGAAGTTATTCCGGGGAACTGACTCCGGTCCAAGGAAAAATTGATGCAAGAGTACAGTTCCAAGACAAGGAGGCAGTTTTACCTCTCTTCCTTACTGGAGATGGTTCCCCTACACTGCTTGGACGCAATTGGATTCGAGAACTGGGAATCAATTTCTCGGAGGTGGAGGCAACCGTCCATTCTCTCTCTGATGTGAAAACTCTGGTTCACGAGTTTTCGGAAGTCTTCGAGGAAAGCCTTGGTACCTTCAAGGGCAGGGAAGCCACTATTCATGTTCCACAAGATGCTCCTATGAAGTTCTTCAAGCCACGTTCGCTACCTTTTGCCTTGAAGGATGGGGTTACACAAGAGCTCCAGCGCCTACAAAGAGAGGGTGTCATTGTACCAGTAAAGACTTCAACCTGGGCTGTGCCCATTGTTCCTGTGGCCAAGAAGGATGGCCGTGTGAGGATTTGCGGTGACTTCAAAGTTACCGTAAATCCAGTGGCAACATTGGAGAAGTACCCCATTCCAAGGATCGAAGACCTGTGGGCCATGCTTTCCGGGGGCGAGAAGTTCACAAAGTTACATTTGAGAGATGCCTACCAGCAAGTAGTTCTCGAGCAAGACTCCAGGAAGTATGTGACCATTTCGACACACATGGGTTTGTTTCAGTACACCCGTCTTCCTTTCGGGGTTTCGCCGGCTCCAGCTATCTTCCAGCGGGAGATGGAGAACTTGTTCCGAGGACTGCCACACGTTGCTGTGTACTTTGATGACATTCTTGTCACTGGCACGTCCGACTCAGATCACCTTCACAATCTTCGTTCTGTTCTCGTTCGCCTTCGGGACGTTGGACTCAGGCTGAGATCCGACAAGTGCCTTTTCTTCTTGCCTCAGGTAGAATACCTTGGGCATATCATCAGCAAGGAAGGACTGTCACCAGGTCTCGGCAAGGTGGCAGCTGTCCTACGTGCCCCGGCACCACGAAATGTCAAGGAACTCCAAAGTTTTTTAGGTTTAATCAACTTCTTACGACGATTCCTTCCTAACCTGTGTGGACGTCTTCGTCCACTGCACTTGCTTCTCACTGACGGTAAGAAGTGGGAGTGGGGAAAAGACCAAGAGGAAGCTTTCACGTCAAGCAAGCACCTCTTGACCTCAGCTCCGGTTCTCGCTCATTTCAACCCAGAGAAGCCTGTGTGTCTCAGTTCCGATGCCTCACCGTACGGGATGGGCGCCGTCTTGGCACACCGGGAAGCCGATGGTCAAGAACGACCCATCGCCTTCGCATCCAGAAGCTTGTCCCGAGCCGAAAAAAACTACAGCCAGCTCAACAAAGAGGCATTAGCCTTGGTGTACGGTGTTGAGCAGTTCCACCAGTACCTCTGGGGAAACCCGTTCCAAGCCTTCACAGACCACAAGCCTCTACTTGGATTGCTGAGTCCTGACAAGCCGATTCCAGTCCACGCTTCGCCTCGACTTATTAGGTGGGCTCTCAAGCTTTCTGCTTACACGTACCAGCTTCTCTACAAACCGGGGAAAGACTTGGGACACGCGGACGCACTCAGTAGACTGCCAGTGCCGACAAACAGTGTTTCAGAACCTGTGCCGGCTGAAATCTTTATGCTCGAAGAGGCTTACCCCAGTCTTCTGTCACCTGCTGTAGTGGCTCAAGCAACGAAGAATGACCCGTTTCTGGGTAACGTGATGCTTGCTGTCCTGAGAGGAGAGGGCATTACATTGGGACCAGAAGGGAACCCATTCAGCGCAAGGAGTACTGAGCTAAGCCTTCATGACGGATGTTTGCTCTGGGGAGCACGAGTGGTAGTCCCACAAGTGTTGCAAGATCAAGTCCTGAAGCTTCTTCATGCAGGCCATCCCGGCATTGAGAAAAGCAAAATGGTCGCCAGAAGCCACGTCTGGTGGCTGGGTATTGACAATGATATTGCCAAAAACGTGAAGAGCTGCACAGTTTGCCAAGCTCATCAACGGGCTCCACAGCCGGTTCTGCAGACACCCTGGCCTTTTCCACAAAAGCCCTGGTCAACGCTTCACATTGACTTTGGAGGCCCATTCATGGGGCGAACCTTCCTAGTCATTGTGGATGCATTCTGAAAGTGGGTAGAAGTTTTCCCAGTGCCATCCACCTCGGCAGAAGCTACTATCACAGCTTTGCGAGTAGCATTTGCCCAGCATGGACTGCCAGATCTGATAGTATCAGATAATGGTCCTGCCTTCGCAAGTGAACAATACTTGGAAGTCTTGACACGCAACGGTATACGCTGCATGCTTGTACCACCCTATCATCCAGCTTCAAACGGTGCAGCGGAGCGTGTCGTTCAAACTGTCAAGAACAAACTTAAGAAGAGTGCATCTGGGTGTTTCCAGACTCAGATATCTAGACTTCTGTTCCACTACAGGACCACTCCGCATGAGGTCACCGGCAGAGCGCCGTGCGAGCTACTGACCGGGAGACGTTTTAAAACACCGTTAGATGTCCTCCGGCCAAGCCTCCAGTCGCCAGTACTACTCAAACAGCTAAAGCAAAAGCTGTACACGGATAAAGGGTGCCGGCAAGGTCCGTCATGTGGCACTGAAGAAGAAGTCTTCGCAAGGAATTTCCGTCAAGGTGCGACATGGCTGCCTGCTCGTGTGATAGGCGCCACCAGTAACTCATCAGCACAAGTCCGCCTCAACGACGGTACAGTGTGGCATCGTCATGGTGACCACCTGCGGCCCAGACAGATGGAGACAACTGCAGAAGTCACCGAGCCACTTCAGCCCGAGACTGCCACAGATCAGCAAGAACTACAAACAGAAGACACCATCCAAACTGCTGATCCAGTTACGGTTCCACATGATTCCGTTGCTATGGTACCAGTTGGCACAGCTGCCGATGTTGACAAACCCATGGACAACAGTAGCACTGTCCTCGCCACAGCCAGCAGCGCACCGCATCTGCGACGTAGCGCAAGGGCTAGAAGACCCGTGCAGCGCTACTCTCCTTAGTTCTTTTTACGCTTGCAATGTTCTAAGGGGGGAGAGTTGTTACAATCTCTGTCTGGCTGCTAGCGCTACCAGATTTCATTGCGGTAGTTGTCGGTTACCTCGATTGCCATCACGAGACATTAAAACACTTCTTCTTCAATTCCTGAAGCGAAAGGAACGACGGCGTCATGTTTCTGCTTAGCCGGCCACGTCCTGCTGGCCGTGCGGTCTATCCCCGCTTGTAACACTTTCCATTCCCCCCGCCGTGCTAAGGGCATTTGTCGTGAGTCAAAATGTCAAAGTTGCACGTCAAATGGTATGTGCGATCTAGCTGATTGTGAGCAACTCTGATTTCGCAATACCTATGCGCGTCACCATCTTCTGAGTCACGTGCGATTTATATATCATTTTTTTCGTGAGATTGGCTCAATATACAGAAGTGTAACCTATATAAAGGTGCGACTTATAGTCTGGAATATGCTGTAAATAAAAGTGAACAAATAAAACAAATGCAAATAATCAAACAAAATAAATAATAAAAAAGTTGGAAGAAAAAATCAATAAGATAATGAAAAATGGAGCACAAAGGACACACGGAGTGTGTTCATTCTTAGTCTTTGTTAGCAGGACAAAGCCTGTATTGGCGAGAAGATTGTTCTTCTCAAAGTCCTGTGTTGACCTAAGCTAAACTCCTTTTCTCGACTGAGCGTGGAGCAAAGATTGGGAGATTTTGTCCTTGGTCTAGAAGGATAAAAAGTGCCGAATTGAACATGAGCCGAACGATGAGGCAACGTTGGTTTACGTGGGCCGAGCGTTGGGTCAAGAGACTTCCTAAAGGTGTTCTCCATAGGAAGTCTGTCTTCATCAGCAGGAGGGTTACGAACCACAGTTTTGATGCCGTGAAAGTAATCTAGCTCTGTGGTCCAGCCGAAAGCACACGCTAGACCGCAGAGCACGCAGCCAAAGCCGTCGGTGCATACGGCTTTTTAACACGAATGGAGTGCCCATAAAATATGGGGACCATTGAGCACGGTCGCATTGCAGGCTTTTTGTAGCAAGTTTTGCTTTTGTGGCTGGCAGGGCAAGCGGCTGGTGGGAGAGGACGGTGTGGAGCAGGTCAACGACATGTTCTACGAGAACACGATGCTCCAGACGGAGAACGGCAACTTCCGCACGCGGGTCAAGGCGCTCCAGGAGACCGTGGAGCGGCTGACAGTGAAGAACACGGAGCTGCTGGCGGAGCAGGCGGCCGCGGCCTGGATCGGACGGGACGGTTCGGATGCCGGGGACGTGAAGGTCCTCATCCAGGGCTACCTCAAGGAGGTGGAGGAGCTCCGGTAAGCCCTGCTCTCTTGGGTCTTTTCCCGCTCCATTTGACCGGACTGCAGGGGACGGCATGCACATATACTCGACTGTCGTCCTGCTCAGCTTGAGGGGGAAAAGCAGGGTGGAGAAGAACATGTTTTCCAGGCTTCCGCAGAAGTCGCGGTGCAGGAGAAGGGAAGTGACCTCGAGAAGGGATGAAAAGGTGGGGGAACCTTCCTTCAAGGGCACCCAAGTTCGTTGCAACGCAGTATCACACACCTTAAAGGAGCTGTGCAACTATTTCGGTGCTTTATTAAATAATTTCGGAGTTGGTCTGTCAACCTTTCTGAAGTAAAGAACAAAAAACTGCATGTCCCAGTTTTTGTTTTAAAAATAGACAAAGATTGAGGTTTTCGGCACCTCTGAACTCCTTCACCATCTTCCGAGTCACGTGCGCTGTGATGTCAATGGGGGTTAAGCGGGATTCCAATGAAGCTCTCTCTCTCTAGAGCCACGAGTGAGCAGCAAGAACTCATCCGCTCGCGACCGCGCGACCACCTGCTGGCGGGCGCAGCGCAAACAATATGGGGAAAGGAGGAAAGTCTCATCTGGGTCCAGCCAGACCCGTTCGGCTCTGTCCCCCTCCGGCTTCTGGTGGCGGTTCGCGGTAGCAAATAGAGCTGACGGTTTTGTGGACCTAGGATAGATGGCGCCACTAAAACTCCGTATAATAAAAGGTTTGTCGATGATACCAGGTTTTTGACGCATTTATGTATATGTTGGAACGCTAGATTTAAAGACAAATTACCTTTTATCGAGCAGGTATTTGCACAACTTCTTATCTTTTTACAAGTCCCCCATTGACGTCACGCCACGTGTTTCTCATGGCCGCTGCTTGCGACTGCAGGTCGGGGAGTAATCTAAGTTTTGCCACGCTATTATGTGGCGGAATCGCAACATTTCGATGAAAGGAGGTGTATTTTCTGTCATTTGTGACAAGGTGAACAATATCAAAAGCAGAAGATGCCAATTCTTTCAACGTTAAAATCGTTGCACAGCTCGTTCAAAAAGGTCTGGCGCACCTATTTTCCCGCAAACCTTCGGGAGGACCAATCGCTCGGATCCTCAGTATTCTCGGAGAATGACAAGGTTAATCCTACGTTTAGACCTAAAAAATGAAAGCCGTCTACAACTCCCTGTAATGCCGTTTTAGAGCGCAGCTCTTGAGGAGGAGGAGGAAAGGGTACTGAGGGGGGCTATGCCCGTCCTCCTCTCCTGCTCGGCTCCCATTTAGGGGAATTATTTCCGCTAAATTTAGCAGGGAATTTTTTCCGCTAAATTTAGTGGGAATTTTTTCTGCTAAATTTAGCGAGGAAAATCTTTTGTTTCAATAGGAGCTAAGCCTTTTTCTTTCTTTACTTTTTCCTCAGGTAAGCTTGCTCTTTGCAAATTTTACAAAAAAAAAATGCACCATCTGTGGGCAATGCTGCACAAAGTCGTAGTGTGATAGGTTAAGAAACCGAATTTTGCGGTCGATTTAAATAGCCTGGCGTCTCCTTGAATTATCCTGTAGATATCGTAGAGAATTTTAAGATTATAGATGTAATTTTCAATTGGTTCTTATCTTGGGAAAATGATGTGAATGATTTACGCGCTAGACTGTCAAAGGTCATTAAACTAGTTTCTCGTAACCGTTTTATTCTACCGAAAAATGTTAAGCTCGTTTTATACCAGACTTGATTTGTTTCTCATTTGAATTATTGTTATTTAGTTTGGGGCACAACCACCCGCACAAATCTAAAAACAAATACTCCTATTGCAAAAAACAAAAATGTGTTCCTCATTGAGGATGCTTCTAACGACTCTAGCACCCAGGATCTGTTCATAAAGAATAGTATAGTTCCTGTTTACAACATGTACAAGTATAGACTCACTATCAGTTTTAGAAAATCAAAGAAATGGGGATAGCTTAGTAAACCTTGCGGAGCTAAAAGAATGTGCAACTCGGTCGGCAGAACGTTGGACTGTGCCACTGTGTCACAACAACTATTCAATGCAATCACTCAAATACAAACATCCTACTATATTGAACACCCTAATGAAAAAATGACATTGATAGTATTTCTATTGCGATTCAGGAATTGTAGACTGATCTAATGTGGGGCGAAAACGAATGAATCGATTTACGAGACCTGTTTGATTTTTGTATTTTTACTTTGTTGTCTTGGTTTTCTCAGTTTTTTTGCTGTTACTTTGTTTTGACTAGTGTGTATGCCACTAGAAGGGAGCAAAGGGCTCCGTCAAGCTGTTCTCGCAGCCTTTTTCCCTCGTTTCCTCCATTTATGTATCAAACTGGAAAATAAAGTTCCTTAATAATAATAAAAAATAATAAATGCATTACTGTCTACTCCCTTAGTTTGTCTGCGGTGTATTGGCGTGAATGGCCACGTTTTGCTACTGCCAAGGTTGCGGCCGCCGCCGATATACAGGCTTCAGGCTTTGCAATGTTCCTCGGCGCCGAAAAAGGAGCCACCGCACAGGCGGAGCGGGAATTTCCCGCCCCAATTCAACCATGCGCATGCGCTATCCTCTCCCTTTTATTAGTGCGCGGGCCACAGCGCCAGGAGAGGGCTTGTTTGTGCGGTGGCGTTCCTTGGAACTAGGACGCGTCGCAGCCATTTTGTGTGCCATTTGAGGGAGGGAATTGGGGAGCCATCTTTGGCGGTTACAGACAATGCCGGGTGCACTCCATGGGACAGGTAATGCTTAAAAAAATGGAAGCCGTTTACAATTCCCTGTAACGCTGGTTAGAGCGCAACTCTTGAGGAGGAAGATGGAAGTGTACTGAGGGATAGGTGACTCCTTGAGGTCGCGTGACTTCGGGGGGGGGGTCGCGTGACTTCGGGGGGGGGTCGCGTGACTTCGGGGGGGGGTCGCGTGACTTCGGGGGGGGTCGCGTGACTTCGGGGGGGGGGTCGCGTGACCTCGGGGGGGTCGCGTGACCTCGGGGGGGTCGCGTGACCTCGGGGGGGTCGCGTGACCTCGGGGGGGTCGCGTGACCTCGGGGGGGTCGCGTGACCTCGGGGGGGTCGCGTGACCTCGGGGGGGTCGCGTGACCTCGGGGGGGTCGCGTGACCTCGGGGGGGTCGCGTGACCTCGGGGGGGTCGCGTGACCTCGGGGGGGTCGCGTGACCTCGGGGGGGTCGCGTGACCTCGGGGGGGTCGCGTGACCTCGGGGGGGTCGCGTGACCTCGGGGGGGGTCGCGTGACCTCGGGGGGGGTCGCGTGACCTCGGGGGGGTCGCGTGACCTCGGGGGGGTCGCGTGACCTCGGGGGGGTCGCGTGACCTCGGGGGGGTCGCGTGACCTCGGGGGGGGTCGCGTGACCTCGGGGGGGTCGCGTGACCTCGGGGGGGTCGCGTGACCTCGGGGGGGGTCGCGTGACCTCGGGGGGGGTCGCGTGACCTCGGGGGGGGTCGCGTGACCTCGGGGGGGGTCGCGTGACCTCGGGGGGGTCGCGTGACCTCGGGGGGGTCGCGTGACCTCGGGGGGGTCGCGTGACCTCGGGGGGGGTCGCGTGACCTCGGGGGGGTCGCGTGACCTCGGGGGGGTCGCGTGACCTCGGGGGGGTCGCGTGACCTCGGGGGGGTCGCGTGACCTCGGGGGGGTCGCGTGACCTCGGGGGGGTCGCGTGACCTCGGGGGGGGTCGCGTGACCTCGGGGGGGTCGCGTGACCTCGGGGGGGTCGCGTGACCTCGGGGGGGTCGCGTGACCTCGGGGGGGTCGCGTGACCTCGGGGGGGTCGCGTGACCTCGGGGGGGTCGCGTGACCTCGGGGGGGTCGCGTGACCTCGGGGGGGGTCGCGTGACCTCGGGGGGGGTCGCGTGACCTCGGGGGGGGTCGCGTGACCTCGGGGGGGGTCGCGTGACCTCGGGGGGGTCGCGTGACCTCGGGGGGGTCGCGTGACCTCGGGGGGGTCGCGTGACCTCGGGGGGGTCGCGTGACCTCGCGGTTACGCCGACGCCGCTCAAGCCGGAAACAAGCCCCTAACAGCTGCGCTCTAAAAAAAATAAGAGTAAGCTTTGTTCTACGCTGGTCAAAGACGTCCCCAATGATACTTGTGTCGTTGATGGAGCCATCCGCTGGCCTTTTACCAACACCAAAGACTACACCGACGAAGAAACGTGCGGACGAATGGGAAAAAATGGCAGAAGGTGTCGCGCCTGCAGTTGGCTCGTGGACGCGGTAGTTCGTCAAGTGACGGAAGTGACAATCTATACGAGGCCAATAAAAGGCCAAAGACTCGTTGAGGGCATTGTAGTTTGACCGTGTGTCGGGGCTGTGCAGGACCAAGCTGCTGGAGTCTGAGGAGGTGTGTGGCCAGCTGAGGAAGCAGCTGCAGCGGTCGCAGGCCCGCCTGTTGCCGAGCCCCACGACAGTGGCCGTGAGCGGGGTCTACGACGTGGGCGCGGAGGAGGCGAGCGTGGACGACGTGCTCGCCCAAGCCAAGAGGGACGTGGAGTGCCTCACGCGCAAGACCAAGCACCTATCCAGGGCACAGAGGTACCCTTTCCTCTCTAAGGGCAGGGCTCTTCCAGTAGCTTGGTAGGGCCCCTCGTTAGTGCCCAGTTGAGCGATGGTGAGGAAAAAGCTTCAACTCGCGGGACAAGACTGTGAACTATTCTTTAGTCGTGAAACATTGTTTGGCTAGGAGTGAATCAGCACCGATTGTTTGACGGGTGGGGGAGGATGGGACCAGAGGGGCAGGCGTGGAGGAGCTCGACCACCTCTGAAGTATGGAAGGCCCTGGAAGATCACTTCATTCTAGGAACAACTATGCATAAACTACCTGATAAAGAGCACCGTGAACATTTGCAATGCTAGAAAGTTCCACATAACAATTGCCATATTCATTTTCTTCGTCCCTCAGTCTTCTTGTGTTGGCGAGATTTAATAACTGGATACATTTTACGTACACATTGATTACAACGAGGAATATATAGCGGAAGAAGAAGCGAGACACAAAAATGAAGTAGATGAAAAAATTGGCAGGGTCTCTTAGGTTATACCTCAGATGACTCGGAGGCTAAAGTCAAAGCGCCGATGTGAACGTGATAGCGAAGCTCCGAAGGCAGCACGCTCCCCGACGACGCACTTTTGGCACCATTTCATTGGTACCTTTCGTGTCGCCGATGGATCAAGGACTATAAAGGTCAACTGAACTATGTCCTCTCTGTCTTGCGATGTTTGTCGTCTTGTCTGGTTTGCCCACGATATTCACGGGTGGCGTTTGCCGCCACCGCTGACATTCTCGGTGCCGTTCTCGCTGTTGCTTTTTGTAGGCACGTTGCTCTTGGGGAGTGTGGGCTACCGTAACATGTGGAGCCCCCACTTGAGTAAGTGCCCCCCACATCTTCCGGGAATTTCTTATTTCTGTACACGACGGCACAAGCGCCCCGCTGCCGCCCGTCTCTAAGGCATTATTCTTTTAGTCTTGTTTCAGGCTTTTTGGCTGTTGCAGTGTACAAAGCCAATATTGAATCCAACCCAAAAAGTTGCTACGAGAATGCACCACCAGCCATCGCCTCCATTTCCTTAGCTGGGAGCGGTTGTCTTCGTTCACCAAGCATCCGTATACGATTCAAAAGAAACTCGAAGTTGTGAATTGGCATCGGAAGAACACCTCTCGCCATTTCAAGTTGGACCGTAAGGGGGCACGCGAGAGTGACACGAAGTGCAGAGTTTTGCTGCAACACAACTTCGGGAAGTCGAAGGTACGACGCAAATTGAGCAACGGTGTCCCCGTCTTCAGCGAAGTTGACGATACCCTGCAAGAGTTCTTGGAGAGTGAAAGGAACTCTGGATGTGTGGCGAGGAGGGAGATCTTGACGAACGGCTGTCTGACGTCGGCGCCCTTGTCCCCGAGAACCCCGACGAGCTACGGACCGAGGGCCTCATCTTGAGATCCCATTCTGGGGAATCGTGTTGTGGCTTTGATGGCGGCTGAGGTGAATGCCAGGATTTCCGTTTTCCGGGTGGAACATTGACTGAAGTGTTCGTAAATCAGCGTTTTCAACAATGCATGCTATAATGCTTTTCTTTTCACTTGTACTGGCCGCTGTGTTGTGGCCGCCATCTTGAATTTTGGGGCCAATCTGAATAAGGGCCCCCTCTATATCTAGTCGAATTACCTCCAAATTTTGGGGGGGCCGCTTGCTCGGAATTTTACAGTATACGCGGCTTCCCCATTACGACCAGAGAAGAGGAATTGACTTGCTGCTGAATTACCCGAGCATCATGGAGAATGCAGGGAAGGGTGTTCCACACGCCGCACCTGCCGGCGTCTGCAGCAGTAACTGTTCTAAAGCAAAAGCCTTAAACAAATGGCATCCTGCACGCACGTTCGTCAATGCTTTATTCTGGTTATTTACTTTGAATCTCTTATACGGGGAAAGCTTGTGCGTGCGGTGAATGATGTGGTGCGAGCGTAGTTTTTAGTCACTGCACACGAAAAATCCACGAAACCCTAGCCGTAAACAGCTTCGCTGTAAAAAAAGTTTCGAGGACACCTAAGCACTTCTTACGAGTTTTGAACGCGAAATCATGAGTGTCATTCTTCCGCTCCCTTAGTTCGTCCGCAACATACTGGCGTGGACGCCTATGGTTTGCTACTGCCGAGGGTGTGGCCGCCGCCGATATTCGCCACTTCAGCGAATCATAGGGGGCGCGCTGGTCAGGCAAAATGGTAAATGAAAGCAGGTTATTTTCGTCGTTCAGCGCGTGGACCACCATAAATTTCTTGCACTGCAGCGTAAAATGTGTGTTGCACCTGACAGCACAGCGATTTTTCGACGGTAGAAAGCTTCTTGTAGTCATTGCGTAGGAATGACTAGGTGGAAGCATAAAAATAAATGCTGGAAACAATGTTTGTTTCTATGCTACCTACAAGAGCCAAGCAGCGATAGCAGACGACAGAGTCGAAACGACCTCATCTCCTGAGCATCTCGACGTATGCGGCGTCGGTTTTGCTGGAGTTGCCAATAGGTGCCTCAGGCGCTGCCATGTTTTTAGGTGCCGAGAGGAGCAAAAGCGGCCCCCCTTTGGCAGCGCCTGACACGAAAGCGGGGGCAGACTCTCCCTTTAGCTCCCGTGCGGGCCACAGCGCCAGGAAGGTCTTTGGAGTAGGGGTGTGCGAATACTCGAATATACGAATTCGAATCGAATAGAAAGATCCCGAATAATTCGATTTGCGAATCGAATTCCTAGTATTCGGTCACTCGAATATTCGATATATTCGGCCAAAGACGCGCGGTCGGCGCGGAGCTGACAAAAAAGCCGTTTTTTCTCCCGATGTAAGCGCCGTGATATTAGACAGACCATGCGAGAAACACCTCTTGGTCCTACCATTCCACAAAAATCTAACGCACAGGTTAGAAAAAAGAAAAGTAACGAACGCCACAAACTTTATAGCACGCAGATTTACTCACGATCGTGACACAATCTTCCATTGAATCACAACCGAAACAGAGAAGCCGGAATTCCGCGCCATGCCTAATTCTTTTGACGAGTAAAGCCCCTCGTTTCAAATTGAAGCGCCGATGTAGAACACACTTGCCGCATTCACAGAAATCGGCGACTGCACGATCACACAAAGAAAACTACGTTAACCACGCCGATGAAACCAGCCGAGTTATCGTCGTCAATCTTTTGGAACCGCAAGCGCCGAAAGCCGCAATTTCTGATTCGGAACGAAACGGAACGGAAAAATAGTGTGCCTAGATTTGAGAGGGTTTCCAACCGTTCGATAGCCGCGCTTGAATTTTGAACTGCGAGAAGGTGACGAAAAGACGAAAGCGTCGATCGGGATCGGGCAGGCAGGGCAGGCGTCGTCGCTCTTTTGTTTGCACGCCCTCTTTCCACGCGACAACACAACACATGCGCACTTACGACCAATCTGCACTGGAGCCGTCTCCGTAATATCAGTTTCGCTTGCTTCCTCTTTTAAATCAAGGCTCTCTAAAACAGGAGAGATACGACGGAAAAATAGATGCATAGAGGCAGTCGGACGGTGACTTGCGCCACCTAACCACGTTTTGTTTTCTTGCTTCAGATTATATTGTTTAAGCCTGTTTACTCAGATTTAACACCTATATGTTTATTTATGGGAAATAAAATCCCCGGTGTCCTTTTTCTTCCTTAAAATGGAGACCAAATATCGCAAAATGCCCCTTTTCTAAGATACACAAATATATATATAAAAAAAAGTCGCGGTGTTAAATTGTGCTTTTAACGAGAAAAAAAAAAAGGCACGCGTGGCTGTAACTTTTCTTGTTTTTCTTTTCTGTGTGTGACGTTTAGGGTAGATAGATTATGTTTGCGCCATAAAATTGGATCTTTAGTGCCCAACGTCGAACAGCAACTGGTTTTTTTTTTTTTTTTTCACCAGAACTTTTTTACATTTTTGCTATTTTTCTGTACAAGATGCATATTCTACACCAGGCGCATACTCTGCACATATATAGTCTCATTCGCAGCACACTTTGAGAAATTCCTACAAATAAAATCACTATTCGATATTCGATTCGATATTCGGCTTTTTTTTCTTGATTCGATTCGGTATTCGATTCGAGAACTACTATTCGGTATTCGCACACCCCTACTTTGGAGGGTGGCATTCCGTCAAACTATGACGCGGACAGTGGCTATCTAGGAGCCATTTTGCTGGGAATATCTTCTACGTTTCTTGCGTCTCAACCATAGGCCATTATCTTCTCAGAGATTGTCTCCCCCCAAAAAAACCTCGGGATCTGATTTACTGAATTTCTCATGCTGAATGCAACGCCTCGTATGTGGGGGAAACAAAGAACTTTCCCTAACATCTGCCCAGACATAAGTATGACGCAAAGAAGAAAGACATCCGAGGCAGTGTGCTGGCGTAACGTGCTCAGGATGCCTTCGTTGACCTTGTAAAATGCACCGGTTCAGATAAAAACAGATTACAAGTTCTTTAAGCTCTCTTTCAGGCAACATATCAAAAGGTTAAGACTAAAACGCCATAAATCCCTCAATATTTTGAGAGTTGTCTCCCACACGACTCGGGGTTCCTGTCGTTTGTGCCTGTTAAGAATCTATGGGTCCATTGCGTGGTCTCGCCTAGATTATGGATGTTTGGTGTATGGATCAGCGAGTGCATCAACAGTGAAAACGTTGGATCAATCCATCGCGCAGGGATCCTACTTGTCACCGGTGCATTTCATACATCCCCTGGGTTGAGTCTCTATGCTGAAGCTGAAGAAATGTTCCTAGAGAAAAGGCGAGCTGCCTTGGGTCTAACGTATCCCCTCAGGATACGGTCAGTATCACAACATCTGTGTTGGGAACTAGCTGAGGGAACACGTTTTGAACAAACCTTAATAAAGTAAGCCCTTTTTACTGCTGTCTCGGCTAGCCTTTGGACAAACCTGCCTGTTCCTCAGCTTTTGGGAACTGTGGCACCATGGGAGCATAGTCTGCTCATCAGACGTGTCACTCACTGCGTACACTAAGGAAAATACCCCACCAAAAGTCTCAAAACAGGAATTCTTTGAGCTACCAAATGCACATAAAGACTACACCAGCTTTTATACTGACGGCACAGAAACCGACTCCTCTGTCGGCTGTTCCGTGATGGGTTCATCACTTAAATGTGTGCGGAGGATTAATTCCAGTGCAATTATCTCGACTGCCAAGTTGTATGGTTCACTACTGGCCACGGCATACATACTCCGTAGTTTACGCTGATTCACTAAGTGCTCTGAGAGCAATCAGATCCCTTGAGATAGCAAAAAACCCTCTAATCACTCAGCTACATCATAAAGTGGTTGCTGCAGCTGTGGAAAACAAATTGCGTCTTTTGCTGGCTGTCACGTGGGTATACCTGGCAGTGAAGCTGCTGATTGTGCCTCATGCGCTACAAGGAATGTTGATATCCAAGACTACAAAGCGACCACAAGGAAAAGCGTCTGGTGTCAATGGCAAGAGGAATGTTGTCGGGAAGCAGATGCTAGAGGAGTGGGCTCGTCACAGGGACCGTTTTTTCCAGGTCCCCCTTCGACATGTTTTACTCGGCACCTCTACACCCTGCTCTTCCGCTTGGAGATGAACCTTTTCTACATGTTTTTAAATCCTTAGAAAGTGCTGGACTTTTACGCCCACTTTAAACTAACTTTGTAACTTCCAAATTTTTCATCTACATTATTCATACACGGATCCATGTCCATCCTTTTGTTCTATCACTAGCCACTAGAGTGCTCTTTCTTCTCTAAAAACTGTTTCTTGAAATAGTTGCAGATTTTGCCGCTCTTTAGCCTTGGATGCATTTGCACCAATAAAATTCCATCGATCGATGAATTGCTCGAAAGCGATTGTAGTGTCGCATCGACTTGCACTCATTCCCGCTACTTCCGACATCCATCTGTACCAAAGCAGCGAAGGTGTCTAGTGCTTCCGGACTTCCGAAGGAGCAATTTGAGTAGACGGGATCGTGGGCACAAAGCCTCATGAAACGAAAGGGCTTTGCTCTTCGGCAGCATACTTGCATTTGCCAGAAACCGCCCGTTACGACAGTCACAATGTGAAATTTCAGAAACACAAGTGGTGCAAGAATGAGCAAACATGCCCGCCAAGCACGAAGGAGAAAGAATAGGACTGCATTAGGCACTCATAGTTGCCAGAGATCTTGGTTTTCCCTTTAGTAACCGGTAATATAGGATAAAAACCAATTCTCCCTTTTGAAAAAAAAGCAACCCATATATGGAATTGTACGCTTGTGCGTTGTGTGGGTTTTTATGTACTAAAGATGTTGTTGCGACAATTGCCAGAGTATTCTGTAAGACGTATGCGAAAGTGTGGATGTTATTCTAAAACTTGGATGTTTTGAGGCAGGCAAAATGTTGTTTGGTTGTCCCCACAGAGAGGAAGAGGAAGGGGAGAAGAAGTCTGATGCGGACGAGGACACAGCCGAGGCCAACGGCAACGACGAGAGCTCCGAGTCCGAAGTGGAGGCCGACGAGGACGGTGAGGGGCCTTTGGATGCGGGGGGCCAATGGCTGGACAAATGCAGATGCTCTTGGCCGTGCGAGGGGAGCGCGCTGGGAGCTCTGCCGCCAAACAGAATGCGGGCAAACTATCGGGTGCCCCAAATAGCGGCCAGGCTCTTTAAATCGCCGCGTAATTCAGTTTCTCAATCTATCGCGCTACAATTTTGTGCCGCGTTGCCCACAGATTGTAAATTTTTTTTGGAAAATTTGCAAACAGAACTTGCCTGAGGAAAAAGTAAAGAAGGAAAAAGGCTAAACTCCTATGCAAATGCAGCGAAGCCACCGGTCTTCAAACAATACGGCGTCGTTTTGCACGGGAGGCGAGAGGTGGGTGCGAGCGATCGTGACGCCAACTGCCGCTAACGAATGAGCATACGGCGCCGAGAGCTGGCGTCATTAGCAGACAATATTTTCGACTCAAAAACGGTGAAAGCTTTTTTAATATCAGTTGCCAATGCATTATTCTATCACCCTTACTATTAAAACGCATCGAATGGACACATGATTGATTAAAGAAATGGTTTGTTGGGATATTTTAACTGTTTTTTTTTGGGGGGGGTACTATGTCGTCTGCTTTGCAGTTCCTTGTTGTTTTGTTGTTACCACGCCTGCTTTTGGTTCTGCGACTGTCGCCGCTGCGGAACGTGTGCCGTTTTTTAGTCCAAAACATTGTCTGCTAATGATGTCAGCTTTTGGCGCCGTATGCTCGTTCGTTGGCGGCAGTTGGCGTCGTGACCGCTTGTGCAATCTCTTGTCTCCCGTGAGTTTCTGTAGGAGCTAAGCCTTTTTCTTTCTTTACTTTTTACTCAGGTAAGTTCGCTCTTTGCAAAATTTACAAAAAAAAAAATACACCATCTGTGAGCAACGCTGCACAAAGTCGTAGCGTGATAGGTTAAGAAACCGAATTTTGTGGTTCATTTAAAGAGCCTGGCCAATATTTGGGACTTACGGCGTTTTGGTTGCGGAATTGTACATCTCTCGTAACTGCCTGCTTCTGCGGGGATTGTGACCCTCTCCCATAGAGTTGGGGGAGGAGGAGGACGAGCAGAAGCAGAAGTTGAATTCGCTCTTGGAGTCTTTGGTTGGAGTAACGCTGTAACCTGCTCTGTAACGAATATTTATTTATAAAAGATGTTTCGTGGGAGTGCGCGCCTCTAACCTATTTTGGAACAGACACGGTAGGGCACAGCGGCACCTCGCGCTCCGAGGTTGCTTCTTTGAGCGGCCCTCCTGGGCCTCGATTTATTTGGAACTGTAACTCGGTAGTTTCCACGTTCGTCGAATACCGAGCTGATTTTCTAGGTCTCGGTGTTTGCAGAGAAGTTAGAGATTTGCCATTCTGAGACACTCGAGGCACATACCAAAACGTGGCCAAAAGGCAAAAAAATTGTGTGTCAGCAAAAAGTAAGATATAGTTTTCATCGCTCGCTTGTACAGGCGTAAAAAAAAAAAAGAAGGTGAGTTGGGAGGGAGCCAACGATTGGAAGGGGGTGTGTCTTGCAGAGAGGTACAGCCAGGACCTGGTGAACCTGACGATGGAGATCTCGTGCAAGCAGAAGTTGATAGAGCAGCTGGAGCAGAGCCAGCGGCGGCTGCACACGATGCGCATGCACTACGAGGAGAAGCTGGTGCAGCTGCAGGCCCGCATACGGGAGACGGAGCTCGAGAGGGACCGCATCCTCTCCAGCGTGGGTGGGTCTTGCAAAGAGGAGGAGGTTTGGGCCGGTGTTCTAGCGGAGACGGTTGCAGGCAGCGCTGGGCCCTCCAAGGACTCGGAGGAGAAGGTGCGCAAGATCCGGGGGGACTTTGAGCGCCGGCTGGGCCAGCTGCAGGGGGAGCTGAAGAAGATGCAGGCGGCCAGGCGGGAGCACGCCCAGCTCATGAAGAACCAGGCCGAGTACGAGCGCCAGGTGCGCAAGCTCAAGCAGGAGGTGGCCGACATGAAGAAGACCAAGGTGCGTCCATCCGGGCATTGGTTCGCTCGCTCTATTACCTCGCAGTTACCGTATTATGCGAGGGAAGGTTTTCATGCCCTCGAAAAGAAAGAAAAAGCCGAGGCTGTGTATAGTTATTGCACTCGGGGGCACGGCTAGAAGGGAAAAGGGAAGAAATATCAGTTTACGTTTTGACTGCACTCATCCGCACTGCTCGGGTTCTCCTCACTCTGGCAATCTACTTGGCGGCAGATGTGCAGCGCTCTTTTTTGGGCGCGAGCTGCCCATAAGCAAAGCGACGTGCGAAGTAGAGGCACCAACACCTGACCACTGTGAAGCAGAAACTAAAAAATGCCCGATGCAGGATCATTCTTGTTCTGGTCCCTCTGGATAAAAAAAAGACTGTTGCAAGCTTTCGTGAACACTGTCCATGGTTTTGGCTTGGCTTGCATTGACTTGACTTGGCCAGACTTGGTATGGCTTGAATTGGTTAACGCCCACGTGGTGCACTAGCTGCCTTTCTGCGCTGTGCTTTTCGGCGTATGTTGTAGAAGCATACGTTTGTGACCCAACGTTTGGTGAAGGCGTCTGTTACGATGGGGAAGAAATGGAAAGCATCGGGAGTGCGACATCAGTAACGCATCGCTCCTCATCTGCTCTTTAGGCAGTCCCCTTCACGCTAATGACGCTGACGAAATCATTGTTGCTCCATCGGCTCGTTGGTTGCCGTCGAGAAGCGCTTGTGGAGCGCTTCGATTGCTTCCTCGTCCCCGTTGCCCTTCTCTCCCTCTCGTCTTTACCTGGCTTGGCTGTGGTTGCCGGGGCCATGCTGTAGTAGATCCGTTTTTCTCTCGAGTCCCGGTGCATTGAGCAAAATGGCGCTTTTGCATTTCGGACTAAGGTCATTGCCGTTGACGGCTTCCAAAGAATTGAGGAACGCGAGCTTCCACTGCCGCCACAGCAAGCAGGCTGGTCCCGGCGTAGCGAGGAAGACGGGTGGTGATAGGTAAACATGGGAGCCATGGACCGGTCCCAGTTATTATAATGAAAGGTGTAGAACTTTTTTCATCCTCGTGGCCATTACTCCGGTGTCCCTAGGACGCGACGGGAGGAAACGACTGCCTTGTTCGAACGGTGAAATAAAGTGTACTTTTCTTTTCATGAACCAGAAAAGAAATCACGTACACAGTGCAGTTGCCAAATGAGACGAGGATTAAGAACAGCGTTGACAGCATAACAAGAACACGGCGGAATGATACTTTCTCTTGTTTCCAGGCAAACTGGCGCAAAGCCACTGCCCGTTATAAGGGGTAAAGCCGTCACCATTCATCGATCCATCCACTCTGGACTGGAACAAGCCGGAAATGTTTGTTCTGGAACACTGACTGTCACTGTTTTTTCGGGATAATTTGGTGAAATTTGGGGTAATCCGGTGAAGCTATGACTTTCTAGGCCAGCTCGAGGTAGTGTGAGCGTGAAAAGGTATTGCAAGAGCCCAATCTGTGTACAGCCCGTTGTAGCGGGAGTAACCTCCACTAGGGTTTGTTTGGGGCAGGTGTCGCTCATGACGAAGATGAAGGAGGAGAGCCGTCGTCACCAGGAGGCGGAGAAGCGGAGGCAGCGTGAGGTGGCCCAGATGCGCAAGGAGAACCGGCAGCAGGAGAACCGCATCCGCTCTCTCGAGGCCCAGAACCGCACCAAGGAGATGGTGCTCAAGCGGCGCCACGAGGAGGTGGCCGCCCTCCGGCGACAGACCCGCCCCATGTCCAGTCGCGTGGCGGGACGCCTTGGGGGTGAGCACCTGGCCATTGGGGGCCCCTCCCAAGGCTCTGAGGTGCCCGGATCCAAGTGGAGCGGCCCAAGTGCCTCTTTCAATTATTTCCCCACTAATGTTAGCGGGGAAATTTTAGAGCGCAGCTCTTAGGGCCCGTTCCCGGCTTGAGCGGCGTCGGCGTTGGCGTAACCAAGGTCACCCGACCCCCAAGGTCATCTCAAGGTCACGTGGGTCACGTGACCGCTAAGGTCATCCCAAGGTCACATGACCCCAAGGTCACCCCAAGGCCACGTGACACCCAAAGTCACGTGACCCCCCCCCCTCCCAAGGTCACGTGAGCACCCCGAGGTCACGTGACCCCCCTCAGGTCACGTGACCCCCCTCAGGTCACGTGACCCCCCTCAGGGTCACGTGAACCCCTCCCCCGAGGTCAAGTGACCCCCCTGCCCCCGAGGTCACGTGACCCCCCCGATGATGTCATCGTCACTGATGACGTCACCGTCATCCGCATTGTCATCGTCATCATCACTGATGACGATGCGATGACGTCATCGTCACTGATGATGTCGTCAGTGACGTCACTGATGACGTCACCGGCATCGGCATCGTCATCGTCATCATCGCTGATGACGTCATCAGTGACGTCACTTATGACGTCACCGGCATCCGCATCGTCATCATCACTGATGACGTCATCAGTATCCGCATCGTTATCGTCACTGATGACGTCATCAGTGACGTCACTGATGACGTCATCGGCATCCGCATCGTCATCGTCATCATCACTTATGACGTCATCGGTATCAGCTTCGTTATCGTCACTGATGACGTCATCGGCATTGTCACGTGACCCCCCAAGGTCACGTGACCCACACCCCAGTACCCTTCCCTCCTCCTGCTCAAGAGCTGCGCTCAAATTCGGCGTTACAGAAAGTTGTAAACGGCTTTCACTTTTTTTTCCCTAAATTTAGTGAGGAAATTTTTCTACTAAATTTAATGGAAAAATGTTTTCCGCTAAATTTCACAAAAAAATTTTCATGCAAAAGAAATTTTGCCACTAAATTGAGCGGGTAATTTTCCTGCTAAATTTAAGGGAAAAATTTCCCCGCTAAATCTACTGGGGAAATTTTGGCTAAATTTCGCGGGAAATTTTGCGACAATTTCCCGCTAAATGGCAGGGGAGAAGGAGGGGGGGTACGGAGGGAGAGGGTCCTCCTCAAGAGCTACACTCCCATTCGGCATTACAAGAAATTGTAAATGTTTTTAATTTTTTCATACATTTTTCTCGGTGCATTTTATAGAACGATGCGACTTATATGTGGGTTTCTTTAGCAAAATTTCACGGTGCGACATCATTTTTCATGCGTTGGGCGCCATCTTTTGTAGAGCACCTTAACTCTGTAGGCGTAGGTGGCGTTGCCCCTTCCAAGAGGACGGGGCTGTCGCAGCACTCTTCTACACTCTTCCTAACTGACTCCGAAAGTGAGGAATTTGACGGTTCTCCGAAGCAGTACAATGTGGATAGCAGAGGCAGTGAGAATCAAGTTTTACAGCATGCAATGGCATCGCTTAATTCAGCCATGGTTCCATATTCTTTTGCTTCAGTCCAGTAACGCTGAAGGCTAAGTAGGATGGTATACGTGCATTGCATGGAATTTTCTCGCGTCTTTCTTAGTTTCTGTTTGATGAGCAGTGTTTTTCTGTCGTTTTGTTTTGCTACATTGTAAAAGGAACAATTTCGGCTAGCCGATCTTTCAGCAAAGTTTCATTCTGTCCATCGTTTCCCTTTTGCACGCATGTGCTCCCACTTGGGGGTCGTGGAAATTGGGAAGGAAGTACGTAAACAAAGGAGTGTCTTCCCCTGCTTCATTTTACTTTAACACGGGTGTCCTTCAATCACTGCGCCGTTTGGGTAGATTGCCGACTTCGCATCGGGGTATTGTAGGGGTGGGCGATTGCTCCCTGTTTATTTGGAAATGGATATTCGCCCGGAAAGGGGCAATGACTCTGGATATTACGATGCTCGCCCGGCTGCATTTGGATGCGCCTTGCGGGATCTCCTTGTGACGTGGCCAATTAATTGGGGCAAAAGAAGTTGACGGCTCTAACAAAATGACCGTGTCCCTCGTGTCTCTGCAAGTAAATAAGCCCCGCTTTCTGGTTGTAGGGAATGGCAAGGCTCTCTTGGTCTCTCCCAGGGTGGCCAAGCAGAAATGGCAGATGCTCGAAAAAAACGTAAGCCTTCGCTTCTCAATCATTTTCTACCTAGGAGGTTTCTAGCTGCACCGCCAATACGTCCTGCAAAAAGAGACTGTCTGAGGACGCTCTCGTGTTTCTCCCTTCATTGGTTAAAGCTGTCTGCCAAGGAAGCCTAGCTTTGTGCAAATATTTAAATTTCTGAATATTTGATATTCGCTCGAGATGAGCTACGATGTTCCCATTTTTCCAATTGGGGCTGCAGCAGGTTGGCTTTGGTGAGCGGGATTCTTATTGAGCACCGATGCACCGCGGAAAAGCCACACCCGTGAAGCTCGCTTCCTTAGCTGCTGCTTCTCCGCACTGCACCGGTACTCGGTAACAAGTACGGGGCTAACCCCAAAGCGATCGAGGCTGCGAAAAGTACAAATATCTTAGTTGCGAGCTCGGAACACAAGCACGCTTGAAAGAAACAAAAACTATGCGAGTGTTGTGGTAAAATTAAAATTAGGATGCTGTCGTTATTATGCGAGAGTGTGTATGTGAGGCAGATATGCCCCTTCATCCATCATTTGGGATTGTCTTGGAAGTTCTAGATAGAAGAAAGGATATTTGCATAAATCCTTAGAGTTAGATGGGCTTAATTTTCTGTCCGTCATTCTCTTGCCATCCTAATGTGGGCATTGAACTTGTTGTAAAAAGTGTAACCTTGGGAACAACCTTGGTGGGTTCAGCTGGCAGGGTAGTGAAAGGCTCGGAGAAACTATTCCATACTCAACTAGAAAATATTTTGTCAAAACCACTATTGGCTAGAAGTCAAAATTTAATATTTGCACACACCTAATGCAAATGCATGAAGCTGCTTGGAACATATTTGCAGATAGTCGGATGTCTGCAGCAAACAGTGTCTCATAGGATGTATGGCTTAAAGAAATTGTGACGAGCTATTTCTGGTTACATTTTCTCTAGGATTGCGCGAATATTTCAATTTTCGAATAATCTGGAATAATACGCTACTCGATGCTTGCTTGGAGCTGAACTGCAGTATATTCCTATTTTCCCGAGGATCAGCCCCGTTGAGCAGGCTTTTTACTGAGCGCCGCTGCACTGCGGAGAAGCAACACCCGCGGAGCTTGCTTTGGCGGGTGTTGCTTCTCCACAGTTTCTTGGGAAGATGCGCGTTCCGTTAGGTATAGCTGGCCATCTCTACGTTCCAATGTGTCGTTTCCTTGCCATCCCAATGTAGGCATTACGGATAGACGTAAGAAATATCTAAATGGAAGCTTGGGAATGATCTTGACAGCTGGATTTTTGTTTAGCCCTTTGCCAGCCTATGTGCGAGATCCACTTGCAATCCCCGGAAAAGAGGTGCTTTTCGACCCAAATCAATGAGCTGCGCATTGCAGAAAGTCCCTGAGAAAAGAAGTCAGGATCAAACTTAAAATTCATGATGTTACCTCCATCGAATGGAGAAAAAGGAGATTTCTTTGTGAGCCAACGTTCACCTAAGCCTAATATTGTCGAGACAAGAAATTGGATTGGGACTGCCTGTGGCATCTATGGCAGTGAAAAGACCGGTTCTAACAAAGTCAACGGGAATTGGGCTTCACTTGGCTATATCCGCTATTTTTTTTATAACCGACTTTGGTTAGAACAAAGTGGGAATGGAAAATAGTGATCGCTTTGCTGTAGCCGCTATTGGGTTATAACCGGTCTCGATAGTATCCTCTTTCTTGTTGAGAAGCGATACAAATCCCGTCCACAATGGACGGGATTGATATCTTGGGTCGATACGAGGGCTTAGGTGCAAGTCAGCTTGTAGCGAAAATCTCAGTTGTGTTTTGATCTAGGTAACGTAATGTTCTCAGACTTTGCATTCTATCCCAACCGCTAGCGTCACAATCTAACGGAGTTTAAGCTTTCTGCAATGCGTGCCTGTGCCAAAAAAGACTGTTTTGGTTTCTCGGGAACTTTCTGTGGCACATTGGAAAGTTTCCAGCTAATCGACAAACTTGGTACACCCGGGAGGTGTTGCTGTCCATATTTGGGTTGTATTTTTGTTCGGCTGGGGCTATTTCTACTTTGGACTCTCCTCAAGGCTAGAAGACAGAAGAGGGGCTCTTTGCATTCATTCTCGGAAGAAAGCGCAAGTTCTGTAAAGTACCTCTGGTTGAGAGTAATGGAAGAAAGCCTTTTTGCCCTCAGTATTGCCCTTTTATGCTTTTTCAATCTGGACAGTACATGCTCCCGTTAGATAAAAAAAAATGCACTGACTTGACCTTAGTGCTATCCTTTTCAAAAATTGGCTGGAATCTCCAGCATGCGCTTTGGTTGTGCGAGGCAAGGCATCTACTGGTCCTCTCATGGACTGTAGGCATCCCCGGAAGAAATTGGGATATGCTGTACGAGGATTTTTTTCCCCTCGTGTCTCCCCGAGAGAGATTGTTGCGTGCATTGTCATTATTTTTTTCTTGCGATCTAGACCCAACTTGTGTCAGGTGTGTTACATCGCAGCCTAAGTAACGCCGGGTAAGAGACACAATCCAAAGAACACTTTATGAAAGGAACATAATGGCTTTTTTACAGATGGCTGCTCCAGCGAACACCCCAAGTTTGTTGATGATGATTATATGGGCCCGCAGATATATACAGCAAGGTGCTTCTTCCTAGGCCAGGAGAAATTGCAACATGCTGTCACATTATTTTTCTCCCGACACGCAACTTGCGTCTATGGAAGATGCTTGTACCACCAAGTTCCTGAGACTGTGCAAATTTCTTAGGAGGTCGTGCCCAGGTCTAGCACGCATACCTAGGGGGAGGCACTCACTTGATCAAATGACGTTTTAGCCAACACCCACGTTTCACCGAATGACACTTCAGCGAAAAGTTGGACGCTGCTAAGCAGTGTTTTCGGGTGGGCCAAGTGGGTTCACACTTTTGTAATGAGTCGCTGCAGACTGTCGCCGCCAAGCGGCGTACGCGCAGCGCAGGGGGGGAGGTTAACGCGCGCCCCCGTTATTCGCTAAAACATCGATTTGCTCAAATGTCGCTAAAGCGTCATTCGCTCATGTGATCTGGACCCAAGAGGACTTCAGTTATGAGCGTGGGAACCTTGTTTTGTGCACTCTTGAATTTCGCAGATTGACAAGCTTGTCATGAGCAAGCAGAACATCTACACCCTGGAACGGGACATGGAGCGTTGGCTCATGGTAAGCCAATTGCCCCACTCGCGATAAAAGAATCGCCTAATCTTTCAGATGGAACTGAACTTGTTAGGTGGTCTAGGGCATTGGATGTACGCACGAGTGGATGACCAATCAGATTAAGCTTTTAACCCAGTATGCGTTTAAGGGCTGGAATCCTTGAGATCATTACCAAAGGTGCTACAAATTCTTCAGAGTATGATTCGTGAAAATTTTGTGAAGGAAATTCAAGATGCATTTCAGTGGGAATCCAGCCCCTGAACCCGGTGATTGTGAGTTTGACATTGTACCACCTTATGGCCAGACGCAAAGCTTGCTGGCTTTGTCTACCGTGCTAAAGTCTATACTGACTGTTGGGACGCTGGACGCCGACATTTGGCGTTGCAGGTGAAACAGTTTCTGGGAACAAACAACAAGTCCAAGATGTGCCCACCATCATGTAAAAGGGACAAACTAAATAGACACGCCATAACCCTCAAGCGTGGATGTGTCGGGGACCCCTTGGGAGTGTGCCAAAGTCACGGGGATATAAAACAACTAATTGCAGTGTGAAGAGGGCATCCTTTACTCTTATTACCGTATTTACACGAATATAATGCGAGTTTTTTTTCCGAAATTACGAGCTCCAAAACGCACCTCGCGTTATATTCGGAATCGAGTTCAACCACAAGGAGCGCAAGTCTGGAGAAGGCCAGAGGAGAAAGCCATCCCTCCGGCTCAATGCAAAATATCTGGTGGGAAAACAAGTGGGGGTGTGGAAGGGAATTTATTAGCTATTGGGCCACGTGAAGGGGAGAATAGAAAACATAAAAACAGATTTTTATCGCTTTTGTGTTTGTATAACGCGCGCACAACGCAAAAACTCGGCGCACGCGCGCCGCGTCATGCGGGCACTGGCCAATTTGAGCCAAGCCAAGCCGGGCCAAGTCAAGCCAACACAAGCCAAGCCAAGGCCACCAACCGCATTTACGCAATCGTGCAACACGAGGCATTTGTTTATGCAGAGGGACCAGAACAAGAAGTGTGATCGTGCATCGGATTCAGCAGTCTTTTTTCCGCCTGCGCATTGTTTCGTTTCACACACAAACAAACCAACACACAAACACCAGATCACTCTGGAGCAGAAGCTCCAGAGTGATCTGGTGTTTGTGTGTTGGTGCTTCTGCTTCCTGCCTTGCTTGGATTGTGGGCTGCCGAGGAGCTCGCAAGAAAAGAGAACTACCAGACAAGCAGGTGCCGTGCTGCTGCTTATGTGCGTAGTCGTCAAGTGGATTGTAAACGGAAGGACCTGAGCAGTGAGGATGAGTGCTGTCAAAACATAAACTGATATTTCTTCTATTTCCATTGACTTTTCACATCTGCTATGCCCCCGAGTGCGAGAAATTGACGCGGCCTTGGTTCGCGTTGTAAAAGTAAAAATTTTTTTTTTCTTTTTGAGGGCATCAAGACCTGCCCTCGCGTTATATTCGTGGTCGCGTTGTATTCGTGCAAATACGGTAGTAAGGAGGCCAGACCACAAAGCCCGTTTGTTTCCCCAACACAAGGCCCGTGGGCAGGTTTCCATTATCTTCTTCGGTAGAGCATAGGGTTGTGCAAATAGGGGATTTTGTCATACTATCAATAAACAAAGTCCCTCTTGAAAGTAGTGATCAGGGGATGGGAACTTGGCCCGCTTGGGCTTTTGTGCTGGGCATATGCAGCGTGCATGCTGCATTGTTCCTGCAGGACCGAGGGCTGGCCCCCCCTTGGGCGGCCGGAGAGCTCCAGCCGAACACCGACGCTGCATTCGGTTACGTCAGCTGATCCGTGTAGTTCTAAAGTATGGGGCACCACGGTCTGATCTAGTTCCCGACAGAAGCGGGAAGCATCAAGAGGATGAATGGACGGATAAGTCGGGACGGCTGTACCTTTCATAACGGGGCAGTAGTTTGCACCACCTATTACTTTTTTTATTTAAAAAAAAAAGAGGAAGGGAGGGCTTTGCAGACTGACTGTAACGAAAGAAGAAAGAGTCCTTCAATCTTGAGCATGCTAACCAAGACTCGTAAATGCAGAAGGTGTTATAGGTGTTCCAGGGAAGAATAGAAAAGCGTCTCAATGGCACTGTCCACCGAAGATTCGCTTTCATTTCTGACAGATTCTGTGAGGTGGCGCTACATTTCCCCTCAAGAAAGTAAAAGTTGAGGCATCTCGTATCGAACCAACGTTCGATGCATCGATCAGCACGCCTCTCACGCGGAGGCTTTCACTGAAGACTACGTTCGCAGTGTGGTTTGTATACGCCAAGGATAAAGGACTCTGGCCACGGGCAATGAAAGGTACAAACAGTCGGGCGAGAACAACACCCCGCTTCGACTCCTTGGAGCCCCAAAAAAGCCTGATCGAGCCAGTTGACAACTATCGTGCAAATTGCGTTTTGAACGCCTCGTTTAGTTTGGTTTACCTTTTACTTTCACCGTTTTGCTTTGTTGTTTTTGTTTTGACATTAATGGGAAAGCATTAACTTTCCCATAAAGTGAGCCGACGTCATCAGCTCTGAAGCCGCGCCAAAGGGCAGCTAAACTCCCCGGTCCCAATGGAGCCGAGTGAAGCCGCGATCTGGAGGCTCCCATCTTTGAAGCCGCGCAAAAAGCCACGGAAAACGACAGCTGAATTCGTCTCTCTAAAAGGAGCGAAGCTGAAATGTGATGGGTAGGCTCCCATTGGGGCTGGCGCACGTCAGTTTCAAGGAACAAGGTTCCCATTGGCCAGGCGTCAGTTTCGTGGCGCTGCGGGCCCACTCCGGTAAACGGCTGGCTGCGGGGCCACCCAGAGCCCGCTCGGGCAGACTTCGGAGTGGCTCCACGGCTGATGACGGCGTTGCCACTTCACGAGAGCGCGCGCTCGGCCTTTGGCCCTCGGCAGTAGCAAAGCGTGGCCGTCCATGCGAATGTGCCGCACTAAGGGAGCGGAAGAACGACATTTATGCTTTCGCATTCGCAACTCCTAAGAAGTGCTGAGGTATTTAAAAAACTAAAACGGGGCAAAAAGACGACGACCGGATGAAGGAGGCGTACCACGAGCTTTTTTCTGTCGCTTTCTCGACTTGTTTCAGTGGATGAGGAAAGGGACTTTTGACAGCCTGTGGCAGGCACTTCCCACCTCTGGAAAGAATGTTTGGCATAGGGCGTCCGTCGTCGATATTGTCAAATGCTGGATAAAGATTGGCGTGTCGTTCTCAGGATTGGATCTTGGGACCACCATATGCATTACCACAGACCTTTGAGAACCTGCTGGCATTCGATAAACACAGTGTGTACGAGTCTTGCAAAGCGCCCACTAGATGGTTGCAGTTGCTGTGGCGTCGCCGTAGAAAGTTCTTAATGCGATAACATTCTTAAGTTACTCCCCCCCCTTTCCCGTATTTCTGGACTTTCTGGCCTCCTAATGCGCAGTAGGTATGTGCAGTAGACCATTTCAGGCCACATTCTCCACACATTCGCACCATCTTCGAAGGACCTGATGACCTTGACGTCGTCCTAAAGGTCGTCTTTGACGTCGTCCTTCGGCTGCCCTAGAGGTTGTCTTTGAGGTCCTCCTAGACGATGTCCTAGAGGTCTTCCTTGAAGTTGTCCTTGATATCGCCCTAGAGGTCGTCTTCTAGGACGCCGTCCTAGGTTTCGTCCTTGAGGTTGTCCTAGACGAATGCTATTGCAATTCATAAACAACCAACAATAGTGGTTTCTGCAGCCAGTTTTTATAATTCTTAATTGCAGATTCCATCGGAGTGAATCATAGAAATTAAAAGCTCTGGCTAAGTGGCGTGAGAAGCCGCCCGATCAAAAGAGTTCGACCATACACCTATTGTTGCGTCGTGTGACGTCGCATCACCCGACCCACCTAGAAGACAAACTATTCACGCAGCATCAATTAGCTCGCGTCGGCGCGTCTTGCAAGGAGCGTGACGCTAGCACTTGGCGACACGGAGATGGACGCGTCTACTGCAGCAACTCTCATTGAGCTTTTGCAAGATTACCGCTCGACAACGTCGTTGAAAATGAAAAAAGCAGACGACTTTTCCGTGACATGCCGCAGCTGTCGTCGTGACTGCACTGTGGATTCACTTGGTCCTTTTATGCGTCCCGCGGTTTTAGTTCTTCAATTTTTTTTTATTGCAGCCGGGTGCATTTGAGCAGCAATGCCCGTGGTTTTTTACGACTACACCTTAAAATGGTTTTACGGTGCAATCCACTTATAGCGCTACTACATATAAAGATATACTGCTTATAACAATCAGTTTATAGAGCTTCTAGACTAAAAACGATCAGTTTCTAGTCCAGATACAAGGATACTTGGTTATACCGATTGCATTTTTGGGTTTTCTCATTATCGTTATGACTGGATTGCACTGTATTGCATTTACAGTTGAACCTCAATTTAACGAAACCCGATTTAACAAACAAATTCGGATTCCCCGCGCAGCCTATCCCGAAGAATGTCTTTCTCGACTTTACGAAGTTCCCGATTTAACGAAATAATTAGGGGGTCCAGGCGACTTCGCTAAATCGAGGTTCAACTGTATTGCTTCTTTAATGCTCCAGTTGGTAAGCTCCCATTTGTCACAATCTTGGCTAGAGTGGAGTCTCGTTAGTTTGAACCCGAGGGGGACCAGGTCTTTGTTGGAATAATGCAAAGTTTGAATTACCGGGAGTTCCCTTCCTAGAAACACATAGGACGGGACCTGCGTGTTAGTAATCTGAATTATTCGCGAGTTCGAAATAATCGAGATTGAATTAATGAGATTTTACTGTATTAGCGGAGACGTGTAAAAATTTCAGTTGGAGTTTAAGTTAGGAGACAGTCACCGACCAACTTTTAGTGCTCTACAGGGTCTGGAAAACGTCCGAATGATGGGTCGGTCCGTAACATCGTCGGATAAAAAAACTTGCCTTGTTCTGTCTAAGCGGGCTTAAAGGGGCACCGACACGTCACAATAATATATTTTTTTTTTTATTATCCGAAACGATTGAAAACGATGCTGGGACATTACCCTCAAAATTCGAAACTTGAGAAGTCAGTATTTGTGGCGTAAAAAAAACAATTTCCAAATGCCACATTCGAAGTTCCCGTGCGATCTGCGCCGGTGCGTTGACGTCAAATATTGCGGAGTCCTGAGAGTCCACTTTCCTTCACGACCCCCTGCCGTTGCCATGGCGACCCAAAGCGAGGAGGAAAGGAGCGAGTGCTGGCGGACCGGTTTGGAGCGGTGTCGCCCGTTTTCCATGGGAGGACACAAATCCAGGAGGCGGCACCACAACAGACTCCGATTTTTGGTATTTCAAAAAGAAGGGCCGTAGTTTGTTCGCAATTGCGTTAAAAAACATGTTTTAGGATTGCTGTTATTAAATGTTATAGAAATGTCGCCTACAAAGCTTTTAAATTTCCTGATTCTTGACGTCACAAATCAAAAGAAGCGAGGAGGTGAAAAGCGGGGGAGGAAAACGCCAAAATGAAAAAGGGGTGCGCGCGCGTAAAAACATTTTTTTTCCGCGATGCATTTTTTTTTTCTGCGTGTCTATGACTACAACGTGCATCGTTTTAGGCAATAAAAAAAAAAAATACGACCCTTGAGGTGTCAGTGCCCCCCTAAAGAAGCCGTCACTCGTGCCAGGTTACGCCTCCGCTTGCGTTGGGCCACTCTCTATTAGCTCGAGAATGGCTGCCTTCTTTTCTAGCGGTATGGCCGAGTACTTTCTGTGCTTCTTCACGGCAGCGGAAGAACAGGCGGCGGATGACGTGTTCGAGGCAGCAGAATCCGAAAACACGATTCACCCAGACGAGACTGCAGAATGGCCAATGAACAAAGCAAAATGGCAACACTGATGATAATGATGATAATGACGTAACACGGTGTCACCTAGCGGTAGGACTTGGCAGTACTCAAGTGCCAATCCATGCGCAGCCAACGTGGAATCTAAAATGGCGGCTCCTCGGCAGTGTTTCCCACCAATTGCTCGCGACCACTTGGTCAGAAAAGTTAAACTTTATTGGATTTGAAGCCATTCGAAACTTCAATCGTGAAAATGCACTATTTCTACGGGGTAGGTCACGATTCCTTCTTTAGGCCTGAAATGTCGAACATGTACGATTTATCGGTGTCCGAAAAATTGGTCGGTGGCTGTACTTCTGTTTATCGAATTATTGATATGTTTAAGTATTTTAGGATTCCCTTTAAATTAAATGTACATACAGTGAATGCTTCCAATACGAATGTTTTTTTCTTATTCTACAGGAGAGGGAGAAGCTGACGCGACACCTTGACAAGCTGATTCGCAAAAGAGACAAGGCTCGGCTTGCCGGAAAGGTGAATATCTTTTTCCCAGACGTTGGGCCATATGGCATATTTACGCAACTGCAGGTCGACTCGATTGTGAGTTGAACCCCGCGGTGAAAAAAAAACCCAACAAAAATCATGCTTTAGGGGCACACTTTGTGGCAGACATTTATGAATCGCTAGACTGTAGATGGCGTGCTAACCGAATACTAGCGCCCTCTGGTTTGGCTTGCATGCCGATAAAAGGCGAGGTACAGAATGTAAAAGGGGCTTTATCTTGTACCTGGAGTGCTGTCTGCTTATGTCCCTCGGCCGCCCCTGCTCCTGCGGCCCTAGTCTCGGGCGCCCAAGTCCCGAACACTACCTGGTGTTAGAAACGGGTGTCCAGCGGTGCCCAACGTGCGCTGGGCATTGCTTTCGACACCATGGGAAAGAATGCGCCAGAATTCACCTCTATCTCGGTTTTTTCCTGAAGTGTTTCAGCTTCCCTGTAAGAACACCGACAGGGTTGCACCTTGGGGTGCTCTGCCCATTTTCTGTGACTTGGTTATAGAAGAGCATTCCATCACAAATCCTCCAGCAGGAGTTGCTCTCTCTGCACCAGAAATATGCAAACTTGTCGGAGTTTTATACGGATTGCTCCAAATGGTCGTCTTTTGTAGGATGTGCCATTTATTCTACTTCATACAGGAAAGCCATTCAAGCTACTGCAGAGCTCTACAGTATTTTACTAGCTGTCGAACATACACTTGGCAAGAGCATAGTGAAAGCTGTTCTCTCCGTCGATTCACAAAGTGCCTTATTGGCTGTGTTCTCCTTGATGCCTACTAAGAATCTCCTTGCACAGCATCTACACGTCCAAATCAGCAGGGCCCTCCTACGCTGTTGGGATGTAAAGTTTTGCTGGGTGCTGAGTTTTGTTGGGATCGTGGGCAATGAACAGGCAAATAAATTGGCTGAGTCGGTTCCAGCCTCATCAACAATATCCAGTGGCGTACACCTCTTTTGAGGAAATCTATTTTTCACGCATGGCAGCTGGAATGGGATACAGAGAGCAACAACAAACTCCCCATTACAGTATAGACCACTTACAACGTAACCGCTTATAGTGCAGGACCGGGTATAACGCGGTTTTTTTAAACCACCGGTTCGCCTCCCATAGAACTCCATGTAATTACATACCGCTTAAAACGCAGGCGCGCGAAGGGAAATACCGGTTATAGTGCGGTTTCTGGCACAGCCCGCCGACCGCGCCGACGACCGGAGCAGCAAGCACGCTTGCCTGTGCGACACTAGATAACGGCGCTGACGGCGCGAGCCGCAAGCGTTGCGCAAGCGGCACTCGCGGGGCAAAGAGGGTGCTCGAAGAAGCGGGAGAAGCGAAGAGAGAGGCTTCAGTTGCCCTAGCGACGGAGGGACGCACGCACGTGTCGTTCACGTGCGTGCGTCCCTCCGCTGCGTTGGAAACCAACAACCGCAACGACAGACCAATAGCAGGTCGAGGAGAAGGGTTCGCGCGCGTTGCATGCCCGTCGCGGGCCGGCGGGCCGGCTGCTTCTATCCGCGAACATGGCGTCGGTTATGATCAACGTTGTGATCGTCGTCGTAGACGGCGTTCATCTCATCGTTCCGCGTAAAAGCGCTATCCTTGACTGTGAATTTTCGTTGTGTGTCGCTATGATAACCCAGCACGTACTGGAGGGGAAGATCCACCTACTCGAGCGGCGATGTCGTGGCGGCGCTCTCAAGACGGCAGAAACGCCCGTGTCGTCGTGTTTGTTTACTTCGACTACAGTGGTGATTTCTAAGCATTTGTGTCCTCGAACATCGCCCGGATTTCTTATTTGGCGCATTTCATGCGTGTGCTCAAGTTCAAGGTATTACTGGCGCGTACCGTATGAAGGATCCGAATTTTCACGCGTTTTCATCTCCGGAGAAAAGTGATTAGGGTTAGCAATCCTGAACGCTCGCAACATCCATCCGCAACCCGCGACGCCGCTAAGAGGCTGCGCCAGGCAAAAGCCGCTCATTTCTTTCAAAATGTGTGACATACTTGAGAGAGAAGTGTACTAGTCTGGTGAAATAAAGACTTTCCTCAAACTAAGCTTTATTTTTCAGCTAACATAAAATAAATTCTTTTACAAAGGTAAGTTGTCACATGGCATGTATTTTGGCCTGAAAAATTGATGTTTCGGTTATAACGCGGTACCGCTTATAGTGCGGATTTTCGCGACTCCCGCGACATACGTTATATGCGGTCTACACTGTATCAGGCCCGGGCATTGGGGAGAGCTCTTATAACAGGGAACGTCGGACGAGGTTCTTCTGTGCCGTTTAAGAATAGGTCGCTCCTGAGTGACATATCCGCTTCGTGGTGAAGATGTTACAATATGTGACCTTTGTGAAGAGCTTTTCAACATGTTACGCATTTTACGGCATTGCTCGTCTCGTCACTCACTACACAAGCATGTTTTTTGGAACTTTAGTGAGATCACCTTTCGTTTGGCGTCTCATTTTTGCTTGGTGATACAGTATAGACCACTTACAACGTAACCGCTTATAGTGCAGGACCGGGTATAACGCGGTTTTTTTAAACCACCGGTTCGCCTCCCATAGAACTCCATGTAATTACATACCGCTTAAAACGCAGGCGCGCGAAGGGAAATACCGGTTATAGTGCGGTTTCTGGCACAGCCCGCCGACCGCGCCGACGACCGGAGCAGCGAGCACGCTTCCCTGTGCGACACTAGATAACTGCGCTGACGGCGCGAGCCGCAAGCGTTGCGCAAGCGGCACTCGCGGGGCAAGGAGGTTGCTCGAAGAAGCGGGAGAAGCGAAGAAAGAGGTTTCAGTTGCCCTAGCGACGGAGGGACGCACGCACGTGTCGTTCACGTGCGTGCGTCCCTCCGCTGCGGAAACCAACAACCGCGACGACAGACCAATCGCAGGTTGAGGAGAAGTGTTCGCGCGCGTTGCATGCATGCCGGTCGCGGGCCGGCTGCTGGTTGTGGTCAACGTTGTGATCGTCGTCGTAGACGGCGTTCATCTCATCGTTCCGCGTAAAAGCGCTATCCTTGACTGAATTTTCGTCGTGTGTCGCTATGATAACCCAGCACGTACTAGAAGGGAAGATCCACCTACTCTAGCGGCGATGTCGTGGCGGCGCTCTCAAGACGGCAGAAACGCCCGTGTCGTCGTGTTTGTTTACTTCGACTACAGTGGTGATTTCTAAGCATTTGTGTCCTCGAACATCGCCCGGATTTCTTATTTGGCGCATTTCATGCGTGTGCTCAAGTTCAAGGTATTACTGGCGCGTACCGTATGAAGGATGCGAATTTTCACGCGTTTTCATCTCCGGAGAAAAGTGATTAGGGTTAGCAATCCTGAACGCTCGCAACGTCCGTCCGCAACCCGCGATGCCGCTAAAAGGCTGCGCCAGGCAAAAGCCGCTCATTTCTTTCAAAATGTGTGACACACTTGAGAGAGAAGTGTACTAGTCTGGTGAAATAAAGACTTTCCTCAAACTAAGCTTTATTTTTTATCTAACATAAAATAAATTCTTTTACAAGGGTAAGTTGTCTTATGGCATGTATTTTGGCCTGAAAAATTGATGTTTCGGTTATAACGCGGTACCGCTTATAGTGCGGATTTTCGCGACTCCCGCGACATATGTTATATGCGGTCTACACTGTAAACCTTTATTTCCTCTCGGCCGTGTTTGAGACTTTTTGAAACAAACTGGATATTTATATGATTTCTAAGCCTCGGAGTAGTTGCCCCAATTACGCTTAGTTTGGCACACTAGAGCCCTCGTTGCTGCTGCACCGAGAAACTCCTAATGGTCATCATCAACCCCGTCGGGCACGCTGGTTCACAACCGAAGACATCTGGGGCCTCAACAAGGACCATCACCGAAAGCCCAGTTGCTTTTATGGCTCACCCGGAATCGGGGTTCGCCTGCTCACCTCAGGCTGCCCCGGCTTCTCCTCGTAGGCGGCCAGCAGCGGTTGCGCGCACATGGTCCAGGCGTGTCGTCCAGTCGCCAGTGCATTTGAACTTGTGACCTTGAAAAGACTCGCTTACTCAGGATCAGGGTGCTGAAAACTCTTTGGCGTTCTTTTGTCCTAAAAGGGGGGATGTGGAGGGCGGGTTGGCTCAATACTAGTGCCCTCTGGTTGGCTCGTATAATGCCAGGGGACAGAAAGCAAAAGGGCTTTTTGCGGTTCCTCCCACACGTGTTGAACCTCACAGCCCCGATGAGAGCACTCCTCTGCAAGAACACTTCTGGCACGCCACCTGGTTAGAGCCCTTGACTACGCAACACTTCTCAGAAGAAAGAAGAGGACTCATAGAAAACTAGTTTGGAGAATCGGAAGGAACCTTGGTCAGCATGGTAACAATGCCCCAGCAACTCCTTTACCTTGCTGTCCTCAAAAAGAAAAAGGCATTGGGACTTGTATTTTGAGAGGAGGGGGGCAAGGCGAGTATTTCTCAAGAAATGTTACGAAATGCATTTCATCCTGATTGCATCGCGATATGAAGACACATTCCAAATGTATTTCGATATGGGAATACAGATACCGGTGAAAAAATATGTATCTCGATACAGAAATAGAGATACGAAACATATTTGTGAAGTACTATGGTGATATATTTGTATCGGGATACTGCCCAACCCTGCTATCTATGCATGGCATTGAGTTGAGTGTTCTGTATTTGTGTACTTAGATGAGCTATGGTATTATTATATCTAATAATCGATTTTACTTTGGGAAGCTCGTGTAAACAGGAATTGAATCTGTATACTAAAGACTGTCGACACTTTTACTCCCCCTCATGGCTGGTTTTTCCTCTGAGGAACTCTACGTAGAAGTACTGGTAGAAATGATTCCCTTTTTCGCTAACAATTTGCGAAGAAGCGGCAGCTGTAGCATGTTGGCACACCTCGAGACCCCCTCGTTGCCGTGGGTGTGCGGCACGGACAGCCTGTCAGTGGCAGTCGATGCGAGTGTGATTCCATTCCCGCTCCCGGGATGGAGTGCGGCCTTGGCGTGGCAAGTCTGCAGCAGTGACGACCCAAGCGAAGGTTTTCCCATCTTTCTGAGTGATGAAGGTGACGGTAGGGGGCACATCCAGATAAACGAGGCCAAGCTCGGAGGGGAATCTTCCCCTCCGAGTTTTGGCAGAACTTATTTTATGTTTCGATTCGAGAACCTGAGTTGTTATGGTGAAATGGAACACTGTGCAAGTTTTTGGAACCCTCCAACATTATGCGTAGCAACTGGATACTGCCAAAGTGGGATTCGTATAACGTGAGTAATGCTTGAAAACACCCGTTTTTAAGTTGTCGTTAGTGGACGACGGCGAAAGACGCTTTCTCGTAGATTAATGACGGGTCGTTGGGGCTCGTCCCACAACCAGTGGGACTTCTCTTTGTGCCATAAGGGGAGAGAAGGGTTTTTCCATCTCCACTGAGTTTACCACAAATGCAAACACTAGGGTTGTGCGAATAGTGGATTTTGAGTTCGAATCGAATTCGAAGCGAATAGCGATTTTGGCCGAATATTTTCGAATCGAATAACGAATACTTGCCAATCAAAAAAAGTGAAAGCCGTTTACAACTTCCTGTAACGCCGAATTGGAGCGCAGCTCTTGAGGAGGAGGAGTGGAGGGTATATTCCTCCTCCCTCGTGATCATGCCTGCTAGTCCTCCTCCACTCCTGCTCCCCCTCCCTCTCCTTTACCCCTCCCCCCGAGGTCACGTGACCCCCCGGACCATACTAGACAATGAGGGGAGGAGGAGGAGGGGGAGGAGGAGGAGGAGGAGGGCAGAGGTCCGGGGGGTCACGTGACCTCGAGGGGACGGGATCACATGACCTTGGGCGGGCCGTCACGTGACTTCAACGGGGGGAGGGGAGTCACCCCCGGGGTCACGTGACCTTGGCGGGGGAGGAGGGGGAGGAGGAGGAGCGGAGGGGGAGGAGGAGGAGGGGGAGGGGTGACGCCGACGCCGCACAGGCTGGAAACGGGTCATGTGACCCCCTCCCCCCGAGGTCACGTGACCCGCCCGGACCATACTACACAATGAGGGGAGGAGGAGGAGAAGGAGGGGGAGGAGGAGGAGGGGGAGGAGGATGAGGGGAGGAGAAGGAGAGGGAGGGGCGCGGTTACGCCGACGGCAACGCCAACGGCGACGCCGACGCCGCTCAGGCTGGAAACGGGCCCCTAAGAGCTGCGCTCTAAAAACTTGGCCGCAAAGTGGCGTGCAAGATAATTATTGCATACGTGCAATTATTAAGTAGACTGATTTGTGAGAATGAGACCACAATTTGTTCAAGTATGACTTATTTATTGGAAGACAAACATTAAAAAACCTAAATGGGTTTACGGAGGTAAAAAATGGTGGAAAAAAGAGATGAACTAAAACTGCATCTGTTCAGTATATATTGCACACTCTGGTATTCTAACATGTTGAAGTTTCCAATAAGAGCCGAGTTCGATCAGTTCTCGTGGAGAAAAAGGAGTTGCTCGACATGCCCCGGAAGCAGGTGCTCCCTCCTGGTCGTCACAATATTGCCTGCGGTAGAGAACACCCTTTCACTGGCCGCCTGGGTAGCTGGAATGGACAGATACTTCTGCGCAACTGTAGCCACAGCAGGGTAAAGCTGGATGCCCAGGGTCGACCACCACAGGAGGGGATCCTCTGAACGGCCAAGCAGTGGGGTTTTCAGATACTCATTCACTTGCTTCTGGCATTGGGATATGCCAGCAGACTGCCGTGTTTCTTCCGAAGCCATTTTGACTTTAGAGAATGCAGTCCACACAGAGTATGCTTCTTCTGTGGTGCTTGCAGCACTTCCATGCTCTCTGGTTTCCGCTGTTCCAGTTGAGTGCACTTTCTCAACTTCCGAAAGAAGCAGGCTACTCGCCCACAACTCTTGGCTTGCTGTGGACTCTGTGGAGTGAAAGACTGCCTTGTAACGAGGATCGACCAGTGTTGCCAGTACCAATAGCGGAGACATCTTCACATCCACGAACCTGGTCTTGAGACTTCGCAGCAGGCTGATTGCAAAGGAGGCTACTTCATTGGCTTCTGAAATGTACTCTTTCAGGGTAATCTCAGTGCACTCCAGCAGAGGAATCACCTGCGAGAGTGTTGGGTATTTGGTCGCAGAGAGTTCTGTTGTTGCTTGTTGAATGGGCTGCAGTACACTGACCAGCCCAGCCATTAGCTTCCACTCCGCGGATGACAGGTTTTCCACACTGTCCGACGTAGAAAGTTCTGCAGAGATGGCAGTGCGAAGCTCAAGGAGCCTGGACATCATGGCATGTTCGCTGTTCCACCTCGTAGGCACATCTTGCATGACTTCGAGAGGTTCCATCTGCATATTTCTTTGCATGTCTTGGAGTCGGGCACGTGCTCGGGTACTTCTTTTATAGTGGCCAACTATTGAACGTGCCTTTGCACACAGTTGAAAGAATTCAGGTGCATGCTTCTTTGCATCAGTGATGCAAAGTTGTAGAGTGTGGGCAAAACACTGAACCCTGTGCCACCGTGAATGCTCCACAGCAGCGACAAAGTTCCTCCCATTGTCAGTGACAATATAGGTTGGCAAATCTTCTGGAAGTTCCCAATCCTTTATCACGTTCTGCAGAAACCGGCGAATGTTCTCTGCAGTGCAGTCTTCGGTCATTTGACCACATGTGAGAGTGTAGATGTGCTGCACGAACTTCTTGTCCATTGTGTGGCACGTCACACTTACATAGCTCTGAATAGCGCGCGAGGTCCAGCTGTCGGTGGTCAAACAGTAGCACTCGACTCCAGCATCAAAGATTGATCGGAGGGCTTTCATCACTTCAGCCTTCTTTGCGGCGTACAAATCGGGAATCACCGACCTCGAGAACATGGTTCTTGAAGGCACGCTATACTCGGGAATAACGCACCTCAGCATTTCGACAAAGCCGTTTTCCTCGACGACACTGTAGGAGTGCAAGCCGCCCGTGATGAAAGCTGCAATCTTCTGAGTCACCTGTCTCGCCTTCGGTGTGGTCGATTTCATTGTCGGCCGAAAATGTGATGACACTGACGGCTGCGGCGTAGACTGCCCTGCAGACTTTTGTTTTTCACGTGCCGCACATTCTTTTTCGTAGGCCTCATACAAGCTCGGATGCTTTTTCAGATGGTTTGAAAGGGTTGTTGTTGTTCCGGTTGGTGTCTTCAGTACCTTTTTGCATTGTTCACACCGGGCTTCGTTTTTAGAGGGAAGTTTCGAGAAATACCGCCAAACTGGGTTTTTCACGCTGTTTGGGTCCATCTTGAAGACCGATCGAGCTTCCGCCATTTCGACAATGTCGATGTCATTCACTCGTCTTGTCGCTGTAATAATATATTCTTGCGGAATATTATAGCTTATATGTTTTAAAACGCTCTTTATGAGTTTTCTCGCAAACAAAAGTTTCTGAGCAATTATGCAGGTTGTGAGACATTTTAAAGGTATTTATTTTTATTCCAAACTTGTTTTCCAACTTTGTGTCTGGACACGGCGGTGGTAAGAAAAGAGTGCTGGCAACCAGGGTGCCAAGATTGACAAAGATGGCGCCGGCGTTTCTGGAGCTCGTTGCTTGATTTCATTTGTCCGTTATTAAACAAAGATGAAAAACATGACTACGATAAATATATTTGAAAGGTCCCACCATAATATTTATACTGTTTTCTCGAACGTGTGAGTATAGTTTTGAATCTAGAAGTTGTTCCTTACTGATTTTAGACAGTTAAAAAACTCGCGACCGTGAGTTTGCCAACACTTCGAAAAGCGCGAATATTACAACTGCTCTCGAAGCGAATATCGAATCATGTAATATTCGAAACTACTATTCGAAAAATCGAATGTTCGCACAACACTAGCAAACACTGAAATTCCTGCAAAGTGTCACCCATAAAGCTATTGCTTTAGAAAGCGGGCAAGTTTGTGAGAGGCCGTGGCTCTTGAAGCTGTCAAGCTGCAGAGCAACCTGCAGCAGAACAGGCCCACATCTACTGCTGTGACACTGCTAGGATTGTGACAAAGAGGCACTTGCATTGGCGATTTTTCTTCTGGAAGGCAACAAATGAGTTCACAGTGGTGGAGTAGAACCCTTTGTTTAATACGTGGAAATGGTTCAATGTAATAAACAAAACGGGAGGTAGCATGATGCAGCGACTGACGCTTGGTTGGCTCGTCTTCAGCGCTGCTCGGCTGCCATCCGATTCCGTTTGACGGCCGTGCCTCCACGGGGCCTTGCGAAATGGGGAGTCGGTTGCCGGAATTCTCTGGGCCTCAAGAACCACCGACTTGGCGGTGGGCGAGCTCTCTCGTACCTTTGGAAGCGTGCTTGACAAACGAAAAAGCAAATGACCCAAACTTGTATGACGGCATGGGGCAGAAATGAAGTCTCATTGCAGTCTCCAGCAAGGTGGTGCAGTAGCAACAATGGTGGGCAGAGCAGGGTGAACAGAGTGGGATGGAACAGGAGTTGTCTATTGGTGACAGGAAGCCTTTTGCCATTGAGGGACGCAATGCAGGCTGCTTTTGAGCAGATGTGAGCAACGGCCTCTAGGCCTTCAGAATGCCCTTTTCTGTCTGCACTTATTTCAGGACGAGCGCTATGTGCACGACCTGGAGGAGCAGGTGGAAGGGCTGCAGGCGAATGTGCAGTATGTGAACATGGAGATCACGGACTGCCAGGCCAACATCCTGCAGCTGGAGGAGCCCAAGGAGGAGCTTCTGGACGTGGCCTCGCTTCTGGACGGGACCGAGTCCCCTCAGGCACGCTACCTCGTCGACAAGCTGCTGCACATGGCCATCAACCAGGTGGGGGACACCTCTCCAGTCTTTTCTGGCCTGAGGCACTGCCCAACACTTCCAGCACCAAGCTGCACCAACTGGCTGCTGCGCGGCGGTACTGATAGCTCTGCAATAGACATGTATGGACAGCCGTCCAGTTCCCAGTTAAAAATAACCATTGCGTCCAATTAGTTATCGACAATTAGAACCAATGGGGAGTCCTATCTCTGATTTCGGACTCCTAGCTAGAAAAAGTCAATTGGTTCCAAGTAGTTATCGACAATTAGAACCAATGGGGAATCCTATCTGTGATTTCGGACTCCTAGCTAGAAAAAGTCAATTGGTTCCCGAGCATCACCAGTTGGAACCAGTTCGGCATTCTCAATTGGATGCAACCAGTTGAAAAAATCTATTTGTGTTTTTGGACTCCCAATTGGAAAGAAGCAGTTGGTCCCAACTGTTCAAATCTAATTGACAGATACCCATTGGTACGTCTACTAGTGTTTGGATATCCCAAACTAGAAAAAGTTGCAACTAGATCGTAAGGTAGATAATCGCGACAGTTTTTATTTAACTTATTAGAAATGATTTCTTGCTTCCAGGCATCGTCGTTTTCTTCCAGGGTTGCAGTTGCAGCTTCCCTAAAATAAAGGATAAATATGCATTGAATGACTTCATGGGACTACAAATGTTAAAATGAAGCTTAGAAACCTATTAAAAAATAACTTTTTCGCTGCAAAGAAATTAGTTGCGGTGGTATAAACCTGCAGGCATTGCACTGAAAACTGCAGATATATGTTTTGTGGCAAAAACCTGCAGGCCTTGCATTCAAAGGCAAACATCCCTGGGGGACTGAAACAGTTTGGTCAAAATTAGGACATGAAGCTTTTGCCGAGGGACTGGCTAAATTTGCATGCGGGATGGTTTAAGACTACTCAGTTTCCTGTGAGCCTGTGAGACCTATTCTTTGCTATAAGGAGAAAAAACAGTCAATCCAAAGGCTTATCTGTAAAGCTGGCCAGTGCACCTGAAAAATGCTTGTGCATGGGGGAAAAAATAAGTGTTTTTCGTATCTCAAAAGAAATCATGCATTGCAGGCTGTGTTCCAAATTGAACTCTAATGGACCAGAGGCAACGCTGGACGCTGATAGGTTTTAGGGGCGAAGCTCCTTAGGGTCTAGTCTTGTCCGTCCGTACAGCCTTGTCCGTCTATACAGGAGAGGGTTCTGCGGTCCAATGTGTATATAATAGCGTTAAACTTTGCATGCATTGGCTCAATGTTTATAGACGAGAGGGCGCTGCGGTCAAATGCTCAAATGCGTATACAACCACGTTCCATACCACACATTCTCTTTCTGACATGGATGAAAACGAACGAAAGGCTGGGCATGCTGCAGCTCAGTGTCTACGCAGACAAGCACCACCAGAGCTTCGCCCCAATCAACATCATTCACCACGTGGAGATGCGGTCATTTTTATTGTTTTTTTTTTTAACTTACCCTGAGTGAGATAGAGTAAATTTTGAATAATAGCTGCGAATAGCCTGCCGGATGAGATGCAAAATTTTCGGCACCTACTGTTATTTTATTAAAAAGTCATCAACTTTCGGAGGCAATGACCCGTGACCCGACCTGACCGACCGACCCCCCCCCCCCCCCCCCCTTCCCTTCCCACTCATAGAAAATTCCCCCAAAATTGCTTAATTTTAAATCCCAAAACTTCAAGTTTTGAAACTGTGCCCCGTCAGTGTTTTCAGCAATTCATAGTTTAGTTTTGAGATGCTTAAAACACACTTAACTTTTCTCGCGGATACCCAACAAAAACTTTGGAACTGATAGCTGCCCGGAAAATTTTCTTCTCTAAAGCTACAGTGTAGACCGCATATAACGTATGTCGCGGGAGTCGCGAAAATCCGCACTATAAGCGGTACCGCACTATAACCAAAACATCAATTTTTCAGGCCAAAATACATGCCATGAGACAACTTACACTTGTGAAAAGAATTTATTTTATGTTAGATGAAAAATAAAGCTTAGATTGAGGAAAGTCTTTATTTCACCTGACTAGTACAGTTCTGTCTCAAGTGTGTTACACATTTTGAAAGAAATGAGCAGCTTTTGCCTGGCGCAGCCTTTTAACGGCGTCGCGGGTTGCGGACGGACGTTCAGAGCGTTCAGGATTGCTAACCCTAATCACTTTTCTCCGGAGATGAAAACGCGTGAAAATTCGCATCCTTCACACGGTACGCGCCAGTAATACCTTGAACTTGAGCGCACGCATGAAATGCGCCAAATAATAAGTCCGGGCGATGTTCGAGGACACAAATGCTTAGAAATCACCACTGAAGTCGAAGTAAGCAAACACGACGACACGGGCGTTTCTGCCGTCTTGAGAGCGCCGCCACGACATCGGGATCTTCCCTTCTAGTACGTGCTGGTTATCATAGCGACACACAACGAAAATTCACAGTCAAGGATAGCGCTTTTACGCGGAACGATGAAATGAACGCCGTCTACGACGACGATCACAACCGACGCCGTGTTTGCGGATAGAAGCAGCCGGCCCGCGACCGGCATGTAACGCGCGCAAAACTTCTCCTCGACCTGCGATTGGTCTGTCGTTGCGGTTTGTTTCCAACGCAGCGGAGGGACGCACGCACGTGAACGACACGTGCGTGCGTCCCTCCGTCGCTATGGCAACTGAAGCCTTTCGCTTCTTCCCGCTTCTTCGAGCAACTCGGCTCTTGAGCAACTGCCACGCGAGTGCCGCTTGCTGCTCGCGCCGTCAGCGCCGTTATCTAGTGTCGCACAGGGAAGCGCGCTCGCTGCTCCGGTCGTCGGCGCGGTCGGCGGGCTGTGCCAGAAACCGCACTATAACCGGTATTTCCCTTCGCGCGCCTGCATTTTAAGCGGTATGTAATTACATGGAGTTCTATGGGAGACGAACCGGTGGTTTAAAAAAACCGCGTTATACCCGGTCCTGCACTATAAGCGGTTACGTTGTAAGTGGTCTATACTGTATACATTCAGGCTTGTATCGTTCACTGAAGATCAAGCAACGAGTGTCTCAGCAGATCTAATGATCCGAAATCCCCAAACTGCAACGCAGCAAGCATGACAAGAAAGAAAATTCCTTACCTTGCTTTTATAAAGGTTTGTTGCCAATCCTTTGCGCGCTAACGAGCTGGCAGGTCAAATGAAGTAATTATCGCTGCACCATTGAGCACTCTACAGCAAAACAGAAAAGAACTTTCTTGAATCATTGCCATAATTATGCTACGAATGCTGTGCATGGCCATCGGTGCTGTGTGCTTTATGCTTCGAATATCTAGCCACCATACTTCCACCGTCCTCGCGGCGCCATTGCCGCCCAGTGTACACCGACGCTGCTGGCGATTCCCACCAATTCTAGCAACAGGTTGTTTTTTTATTTTTTATTAAAGCCCGACCTACAAAAAGTTTTTCCGCAAGCTAGGAAAATTCTTCTTGCCACCCTTCCCATTTATTCCTCTGCCATTGCTATCTTGACGGTGGGGGGACTCCTTTTGTTGCTGCGTCTTGGGGCTGGATAAGCCAAGATAAGCTACCGGCTTATCCAGTTCCAATATGTAGGAACAAAAGGAGCCCCGGCACTGTCAAGATAGCAATGGGAGAGGAATAAATGGGAAGGGTGGCAAGAAAAATTTTCCTAGCTTGCGGAAAATGGTTTTGTAGGTCGGCCTTTAAGTAGCATCACCAATTTTTTTTTTCCTTTCAATTTGCGGTGAAGAAATTGATTGAAACGCAATACTGAAAAAAAAATTTTCATTTGAAGATAAAAGAAAACATAATGCGTTCTTTGGAAACTTATTTCGGGGTGAGGATAAAGAGATAATGGCAAGTTCTGTCTAGAACGGTAGTTAATTCATAAAGTATGCAGCCCTCAACCGCACAAACTACATTTCAAACCAATTACAATGACCAATTGGCTGACCCAGCAGCAGTTGGAAACATTGAACCCAACTGTGATCCCAATCGGGGATCAATAAAATTCAATTGGAAACATTGAAAACATAAAGTTGGAAACATTGAATCTAATTAGAGTGACCAATTAAGTGGCCCAGCGCCAATTGAATTTTGTTGGTCCTAATTGAGGTAACCAGTTGGAAACATTGAATCTAATTAGAGTGACCAATTAGGTGGCCGTGCCAATTAAATTTTGTTGGTCCTAATTGGGGTAACCAATTGGAAACACTGAATCTAATTAGAGTGACCAGTTGGATGACCCAGGACCAACTGAATTTTATTGACTCCAATTGGTTCCAATTAAATACCCTAATTGGACTCGATGATTATTTTTAACTTGGTTGTGGCTTGCACAGTTGCGGTTTGGGCAGTTTTTGTGGGAATGGGACAATTGTGGTTAGCAGCGTCTGCTCTTGAAGCCGAGATTTTCCAAGTTTGCCCAGCGTTTGTAGAGGGGCAGACACATCTGACCTTGAAGCTTGCAAAGAAGACCATTTGTGGAATCGTGACTTGAAAGTGACTGTCCGCCCCTTGTGCAGAGTGTTCAGGCAAACCAGCACCAGGCGGCGGTGCAGGAGCTGGAGGCCAGGCTGCGGCAGGTGGAGGCCAACAATGCCATGCACCAGGACCTGCTGGAGCACAGCCTGTATGCCATGCAGATGGACGTGCTTGCCACCGAGGAAGCAGGTGGGCACCACCTTGCCTACCTGGGCAAACTGTTTTGTAGCAAGATGCTGAGTTGAACACGGTCATGAACAGCACACAAGAGGACAAGCGCCTCTTCTACTGTGCCTCTTGTGCGCTGTTTATAACCACCTTTTTATTCTAAGCGATACATGACTTAAACTGACATCGCATTGGCTGCCATTCTGGTGGCTTTAATAGACCGATCTCACAAGGAGTTGCACGACGCCACCGCTGCCGCGGTGCATTCTGGTACCTGTAGTTCTCCCCAGTTTTCTGGCCGCGTCAAGGCGCGTTGTACGTCCGGCGTTTGGGAATTTTCAGGTTAGCACGAAACTTTTAGTCGGCCGTTTATTCACGGTTTTTAATGGGTGTCTTCACCCGTTTTGCGTCAAGGTGCTACAATAACAGCACCAGGCAAAAAGGTATCGGATTTTATGTCTTCCCGGAAGAAAGCAGCCCACGAAAAGAGTGTCTAAAACAGGTAAAGAGAGCGGTAGAAGAGCGGCAGGAAAAAGCATTTTTAGATTTGCTTCGTTATTTGATTCATAATTTATATTCACCCCATTGCACGATAACTAAAAAGTGTAAGCTTACTCAGGGCATCAGACGTAGTAGGGCGTACCAAAGTGTTCCGTGCGTTGGAATCTTTCAGAGCACTCGCTCCATAGCGGTATATCGGAACTTCCACACTGCCTTGCGGCGACCGTTTTTAATACAATGTTTGGTTGATGCATTTTGATGGTTACAACTGTTATTAATACGACATGTTTTGAGCACAACTGTGCTGCAAAAGATCAGTACAATCACCGAAGAAAGAGCAGCGATTCTCGGTATGTATATGGGTGGTTTCATCTCAAATCGTGCAGGCAAAAAGGGTCGAATTTTTAATTTCGATGAAAAAAATATATGTTATGGCGCCGTTTCTAAAACCGCAGTCGACACAAACCGCAAGTTCGTCGGATTTTTTGTTCTCGACTTATGAATTTTTAAAGAGGCCGCGGCGAAAAGCAGTGTTTTTCACACCCGTCGTGGGTCGGATGTTTCGCTTGATCTCCTGCCATGGATTTTCAGTCCACATTATATTATCTTTTTTAAAGCACTCTGTGGACACATTTAAAAGGCTCCAATACCATGAAATAATTTTAGGCCTTTTGATTTTTTTCTGTAAAAATGTCAAAAACGCCTCCTCGGTCAAGTGTTGACGAACTTTGACAATTAATTACTGGCGATCTACTTGGGTTGCACCGATATTTTTATGTCCACAGAGAGCCCAAAACACGCTCTTTATATTTATTATAAAATGCCTTGGCTGTATAAAATATCCTTTGCGGTACGTTTACGTTAATATTGTGCAAAAACCAAAAAGTACCATATTTGAAATTGATTTTCTCAAAAAACCCATTTTTTATTTTTTTTATTTTTTGTTCAAATGTAGATATGATAGTTCTCTACATGAAAATCAAGCCCAGAAAGTGTATATTTTGTTTGTATGTTCTACATTTAAGCATCAATATCGTACAAAAACGTGTTTTTACGGCTCGAAATGGACTTGCGAATTGCGCGTCTTCACAAGCTTGAAAATAGTTTTTTTCTTTTTTTCAACGTTCCCACATAAAAATGAAATACAGTATTTCCACCCTGATATATTTATTGATTATTTAAATTTTATTATAGGCGGCAAGCTACATTGGAGGAGTTCCAAAAAGAGAAAGCAACACTTCTTAACAGACCAGCAGGTGTCGTAAATTTTTAACGTGTAGGAGTCGGCAGACGTCTTATTGATTCGGGGCCCTCATTGGCCTGCATGAACCTCCCGCCCTTTCGGAGCCAGCAGATGACCACGACCTTTCGCGCTCGTTGTGTTAGATGGGACGGCCCGTGACAGTAAAGCGAGCAGCGCACCCTGTGTCACGAGGAGTGAAATGGTACGATTGTGTCGTTGACGCGGCGAACAGTGACAGCCACCCAGGAGGAGTCTGTCAGAGTATTGCGCAAGGGAAAGCAAAGGAATCGTTGCCTGAAAGGATGAGGACACCACGGCCTTACAATGTCGACGGTCAACAACTGTTCTGCCAGCCAAAACAACGCCGCGTGCGCGCTAAAACCGGCGGCGCGGGACAGAAATCCCGCAGACGCACACACGAAGATGGGCCGGTTTCTTAGGGATGTGGGGAAATTTGAAACCAGCCATTCGTGCATGCGTGAAACGATACCGCATGTTTGCCCTAGCTTCGAGCGCCTATCCTTACCTTGAAACGGCCGTGCTCTCTCTTTCTCTCCGGGGAGATCCGATAGCACCGAAGGGTTATCTATTAAACTTGAGAAAGAAAACGAGAAGGGAGTGTTTAAGTTTAATTATCCCCACCAACCCGCTCGTTCTGTCCTTATAAAGGGTTATCTCTTTTGGAAACAGCAAAGCCCGGAGATTGACATTAAAACGAGCGTGTTGGTAAATATACTTCTGTTTGTATTCTGCCCGGAGACTAGTTGGGTCGAAGTCAGCCTCCTTGTTAACTATAACCGTTTGTGAAGAGTGGGCTTCTCCCGAGATGAAAAGTTAGCGCCGGCTGACGTGTTCTTTTGAAAAAGGGAAGGGTAAAGAGAAAGTTTGAGTAACTGCAGAAACTACCTCAAAAGCTCCTCTCCCGATATGAAGCTTGAAGCATAGTCTCGGTTACCTTCTCGCGCATCGCCTGCTCGAATCTATTCTTTACTTTCTTTCGTACAGTCACTGTTCCGCACAGCCGTCGTGGATTTGCGTAATAGAGGGAGGAACAGATTCGAGCATCACCTGGACGCCGTCATCCTGCCAGACTTCAATGTCGCGGGACCGACTCGTGTGTGTTTCTTCGCCCCGCTGAACGTTGTTTCTCGGGTGCGGTTTTTTCTGAACGTTTTTTTTTTTTTTTTTGTTTTGTTTTGTTTCAATGTTTTTTTACTAACCGTTTGTTAGCACTGTTCAGTTGTTGGGTTTATTTCGTCATGGCGTAGCGGCCTGGCGATGATGTAGAGAGCGTGTTCGCACGCATTTGGTTGCGTCCCGTTTAGGGAATGCCCGGGGGAGTTAGTTTTTGTTCTTGCCATGTCCGGCTGAGTTATTGATTTTTTTTTGTTTGTTTTACCTTTACGTGCCGTCGACTTCTTTGTCTGACCCTCCACCAGGCGTGGACCTATCGCCTTGCCACCGCTTGAACCTAAATACTTTATTTATTTTTTTAACGCAATTTTTGTTAAGATCGGAGTTGGGCAATTTAATTCCTATTTATTTATTTTTATTTCCTACCCCTCTCCATGACACACTCTCTCTGTGTTTCAGACCGTTTCTGTGTCACCACTTTTGTGTATTACGGAAGTGAAAGAACATTCCCTGGTGACCTGTGCGATGTGCGGTGAACAAGCCCCAGTGTTTGGTTTCGTAAAGAATTGTATATAATATATGGACGATGTGGTGACTTTCTTTGTCTTAGTAATATGACAGCTAATAGCTAGTCGTGCTAGCTTACTTTGAAAGGTTTATAAATCGAAACAATACAGCGTCTGTGCCTTTTGGTTATTGAAAGTCTACTAGGCCTGCTGATTTGGTTAGATATGTATCTCATGGTTCCCCCTCTCATCAAAACATACATAAATATTCAATACCACAAAATCCGTTTATAATTGGTTACGAAATGCAGAAGAAAATTCAAGAAAACTTTTTCACAATTCATAGAGACGCATGGGTCGCAATGTCTGACTTAGGTCTTGCATAACAAAGACGTCTTTTTCCGATATTGAGTCCTATATATAAAACATGCAAACAAAATATACACTTCCTAGGCTTTATTTTCGTGTAGAAAACTATCATATCTACATTTGAACAAAAAAATAAAAAAATAAAAAATGGGTTTTTTTGAGAAAATCAATTTCAAAAATGGTACTTTTTGGTTTTTGCACAATATTAACGTAAACGTACCGCAAAGGATATTTTATACAGCTAAGGCATTTTATAATAAATATAAAAAGCATGTTTTGGGCTCTCCGTGGACATAAAAAATATCGGTGTACCCCAAGTAGATCGCCAGTAATTAATTGTCAAAGTTCGTCAACAATTGACCGAGGAGGCGTTTTTGACATTTTTACAGAAAAAAAGCAAAAGGCCTAAAATTATTTCATGGTATTGGAGCCTTTTAAATATGTCCACAGAGTGCTTCAAAAAAGATAATATAATGTGGACTGAAAATCCATGGCGGGAGATCAAGCGAAACATCCGACCCACGACGGGTGGGAAAAACACTGCTTTTCGCCGCGGCCTCTTTAAAAATTCATAAGTCGAGAACAAAAAATCCGACGAACTTGCGGTTTGTGTTGACTGCGGTTTTAGAAACGGCGCCATAACATATATTTTTTTCATCGAAATTAAAAATTCGACCCTTTTTGCCTGCACGATTTGAGATGAAACCACCCATATATATATAACTTGAAATAAAACGACTTTTTCAATATCAGACTTAATTTTTTTTAGTGGGCTATTATGCCACAATCTGATTTTGCTGGCGTTACTGATCCATTCTGTATTAACACCAATCGACACAGCGGAAAAAAGCATTCCCCGTCGGTCAGCTCTTACCGTTCGGAGCTTGAGCAAACCAAATAAAATTGAATAGAAACTGTACACAAGAGCTCATCTCTACCCGAAGTTCTCAGGCATCTCTCATGGTTACGTTTAATTTTGACAAATGCGAGTTGTTACGGCTCGTCAGGCAGATTCTTTTTGTAGATCATTTCTTTGTGTGCACGCTTCCCCCCCCCCCCCCCCCCCCCCCCCCCCCGCCGCAGTTCATATGTACCCTGTCGCAAAGGCTCTCAACCAGAATAGAACGAGTGTTAGAAAACTATTGCTCTCCGAGAATGTCTATTGAGCTCGTCTTACTTCATTGTCGAATAAAAGTTATGCCCAAGCCTGCGCACAACATAGCTCAGTGTTTCACCGACACGTTTGACGCTGTTCCGCGGTGCTACAC